AAGGCAGGCGCTTATGCCGCTGAGCTAAACCCCCAGCCCCAGCATTATTAAACTTTAATCCTAAGAGAGAGATTTGCTATTTATATTACCTTACTAAAAGCCTTTTAGAATTACACCTACTTTTTTACATCAGATAATATTTCTCAATGGAACAGGAGCCTTCGTTTGTAATTTACACTCCAAAATGGGCCAGTCCAGCTTGAAGATAGACCGTACACCTCGAAACTGTAACATCCAGCAGTATCTGACACACAGTGACAGGTGAATAAAATTTAAGTGACTGACATAAATTGTGTCTGAAGCTTAACAAATAGGTGCCCTCATAATAAAACCAAACACGATGCTTCAACTTCCTTATCAGCAGACAAAAGTTAGAAACCACTAAGACCCTTTTCAGCTTTAAAAAGCTGATTAACATTTCATTTTATTCTACAGCCACTCACTTCCAATCCCAGGTTCAAATTTACTAATTTGGGAAGGAACATCATTTCAATAAACCAAAACATCCCCAGGAAAAATAGGCTAAGATCAAGGAATTGCATTTCCAAAGCAATGCTTCCATATTGGGAGACACTCAGTAAAATAACAATGGATGAGAAAATACTTCCAAAATTTTTCAAAACACTATAGAAATGTAAGATGGTGTAAGACTCTCTAATGGTGAAGGATGTGTTTTCAGTAATGGGAGACACCGAGGATATTCAGGTTATCCTCTCCTGTGCAAAAGTGGAATCACTCCACTCTAAACAAGCCCCCACCACCACCACCGTGCTCTGCTGTCAAGATAATTGAGCAGGCTGGTTTTTTAAAATGCTAACTTTACTGCATTTCTACAACCTATGACTATTTTTGCTTACTTTGTCCTGACTGTATTGAAAAAGGCATATAACCCTTTATGGTAATACTGCAATTGCTAGATTTTGATTGTCAAGCAAAGGAGTGCAGAGTGTTGTGAAGGAAGAGCCTGGAGCTTGATAGCATAAAACGTTTCTGCTTTTATTAAACCTGTGAAGCTCACTGAAAAGTTTTTGAGTATGTAGAATCTTTAGGTTTAGATATTTGAAAAAATGTCCTCGCTTTGTACGTAATTTGCAATCTACTCAAGGAATAACACCTTCCTGAAATCTTCTGGGCCTTAAACTCTGACTAATGCATCATTTTAGAAAACTTAAGGGGGCTGGGGATTTAGTTCAGCGGCATAAGCACCTGCCTTGTAAGCAGGCGGTCGTGAGTTTGATCCCTGGTACCGGTAAAAAAAAAAAAAATGAAAAAAAAAAATGAAAAAGACAAAAAAAAAAAAAAAACTTAAGGTAAATATATTGAAAATATAAAAGTCAAGGAAAACCTGGAATCCCAAAGGTGGTTCAGCTGAACAGCAGAATTGGTTGGGAGAAGGCTGCCATCTTGTGGCTAAATGTGAGCACTTATTCCAAACAGTTGGCCGTGGCACGTTTTGTCGGAAAGACCAGCGCTGGCGGATGGAAGCTTTGTAATCCAGTCCCCTGAGCAGCCCTGGCCTTCTCACTAAAAAGTTCAATACCCTCAAAACCCTCGGCACAAAGCACATTAAAGATATCTTCGCTCACAATAAAACCTGTTCTTTTGTACAAATGCTAATTTAAAAAAAAAACTTCACTCAGTCAACACTTCAAGAGGAAATGAGAGGGAGGGTGAATAAACCTGGGCTCCCCTTCCTTTGCTCCTTTGTAGGCCTGGGTTACCACAAATCTCTGGATTTAAAAACAGAGAAACCAAAATCGAGTTATTTAGAAGCCACAATCTCCCTTCTCCCCCTGAAGCACTTTCTCGCCTCTAATTAGTGAGTTCTTCACACCTGCTGATTCTCCAGCTTTTTCTTCACCTGTTCCTGTAACCACAGGCTGGAAAATAAAGAAAAAAAACCAGACTCCTGAAGCTTAGAGAACATCTACAAAATTCCTCTTTCCACCTCCACTGTCCCCTGAGCAGGTTTCACTGAACTGGGCATCAGTAGAGATTTCCAAATATAATAATGAGAATCAAAATCAATACTAGTAGAACTTTCTACAGTGATGGAAATGTTCCATACTGCACAGTCTACTATGATAGTCATTCAACGCATGGCTTTGGAACACTTTGAAATATGGCTAGCACAATTAAACAACAAAAGTTTTAAATTTATTTAATCTTAGATAATTGAAATAAAATTGCCACATGTAGCTACCACACTAGATAGCATCATTGCCCAGATCTTGTATCCCTAATCCATTCTAGCATTTTATCACATTCCCAAAATACCCCTCCATCTATTCAAAAAGATATGTTTCATCTGCTATATGGAGAATAGTTTGCTAGAATTACACAGAGTGCACACACACATACACACAGAAAACAAGGTTTCTGCTTTCCAAGAGTACACCGTCAACAGAGATATGAATCCTCCAGACACATAACTAGAAGACCAGAACATAGGCTTGGGCTTTCCCCACTTCCCCCATATAGGAACCTGCAGGACTGCATTAGGGGAGAACTGAAAATGAAGCAGGGCCTTAAAGAAGATCGGAAAGCAGGAGGAAAAGGAATATATGCAGTTTTTTACAGTGTAAAAACAATTTTATTTGCAGGAATGTAAAATGATTGTTTGCCATGAGCATTTTGGACATATGGCATGTCTAATTTTCTTGTTAAATTTGCATTTACTGGGGAACTGGTGTGTATAAAACCTTAAGTATAAGCTCTAATCATCATTAACACATGCACTTCAGAAAAGGAAATAACTATAGAAAAGAGAGTACTAGGGTAAGGAACAAACTATAGAAAGTCCACTTGGATACCAAGAAGCCCCGTCCAATTCAGGAGTAGTTCATGTAAGAGAGCAGACTAGAAAGGTAAAATTAGGATCACTCTCCAACATAAAAATGAAAGAAACAGAGAAGAAACAATGGGAATAAAAGAAGGAAAAGTTAAAGAAACATTGCAAAGGAGGAGGGACCAGACTTAGGGAGAAAAGTAAATGTTAAGGATGACAAGATAACAGATTGCTCAAAATTTTAAGCCAAGGTAAGTGGGAGCTTGCTGGAATCATAAATGGGGCGAATACTTGAAGAAAAGGAAAATGGTAAATGTTCAGTTAGTTTGAAGTCAGGAGTAATGAGTCAGATGAGCAATAAGCACTTTGACCAGGTGGGAATGAGACTGAAGTCAGAAGAAAAGGAGAGGTGATCACTGAGTGTCAAACCGGAGTTTCTTGACAAGAAAACAAAGCAGTGGGATAGAAACAGAAACAGAAGAAATTCAAGACAGACTGTATCTGAAGGGAAGCAGTATCTTTGCAGGGATAGAGGAAATAACCAAAGATCAAACATCCGCAAGTGGTTCCTGGGAACTTCTCTCACTGTGCACCTGCTCTGAGCATTCCTGCCTGCTACCCAGACTGTCTATGGCACAAAGACGAAAGCTATGCTGCATAGATTTCCATCCCAAACTCAGGAGGCAACAGGAGGCAGGAGGGTGATGAAAAGGGCCCCAGAAGAGATGAGCCTTAGAGAAAGTCTTATCCCGGTAATGTAAAATGTTAGCCATAGACTAGACACTGCTGTGATCTCATCTAACAAAACTTGACAGCAAGACCCACGTTTGTATGCGCTACAGCAGCAGTAGTGAACCTCGGGCACGCATTGTATTATTTTCAAGACTAAAGATGTATGAGTTGCTTTTTCTAAACTAAAACCTCAGTGTTCAGGTTTAAATGTAGTGTTGGCACTTTGTAATAAATAAGCAGGTTGGGCACATGATCTCTAAAAGGTTTATCACTGCTGTAGAATTTAGTGGTTGCAAACCTGGCAAATGGTCAGAATTACTTGCGGCTGCTGATGGAGGAGTGCTTGGAGATTGCCAATTTAACAGCCTGAGCAATCATCCTCATTTTAAGGGTCCACAGATGACTAATAAGCAGACAGGCTTCATCAATGACACATGTGCAATATTCCTACCCTAGTAGGAGTGATCCTTAATTCCGATACACATTTATTTTTCCATGAAACATATTACAGGTAGCAAGCCCTTTTTTGCAAATTTCAGAACTCTAACACATATTAAGCACAACCTATTTGCCGGTAGTTACAGATATTATTCATTTAACCCTTACAATAGTGCCGTGACATGGGTACTATGAACACAGATAAGGAAACTATGACCCAGAGAAGTTTAATTGATACAAGTGACAGCCCAGGAGAGCTGACCACAGAACCCACTCTCTTGCCTGCTGCTTCTCTGCTCCCCCTCCCCCTGCCCCTGCCCCAGCCCTGCACCTCACACCTGTCTTCAGCAGCAAATCAAAGGCACATCTCAGATTGAGTGAGCCATAGGAGACTGACTGGTCAACCAAAGAACTTTGACGAATGCCCATAATTTTTCCTGGAAGCCACTTATCTTTGTCATGCTTCATCCTAGCATGTTCCTTAAAGGCATCTTCCAGGAAAAGACCCTGTTATACGGGGACAAGAGATTGCAAAAGTATTTTCACTTTCTTACTCGGGTTCAACTCTACACAATGTGGAAACAAGTTTTACAAATATTTTATACTTCTCTAACCAAAAAAAAAGGTAATAACTATAAGAAATTTGATTGCATGAATTTTTATCTTTTCTTTAAAATTATAACTTAAGGAGCAAGGCAGGACCCAACCTGACCAGAATTTTTCTAGCCTTCGGTTATCCTACTTGATGGGGAACAGGAGTGCGAACTATTCAAGATTGACTCTTGCTCAACTTGGCGCAGTTCTCAAGAGAAAGAACACAGACAATAAGGCCTGAAGGCAGCCGCGTTCACCCAGACTGAGTCAACGCGGAGCCACGAAATGCTAGCTGACAACACTGCAGTCTAATAAAATGACAACTAGACAAATTCACCGCAGCGCTGCAGAATTATGCAGTGGGGTGAGGCCTTCCCACACACTCCCCACCAAGAGCCTGGCCCCCTAGGCAATCTGAAAATACAGGCGCCCCGGCACAGCCACTTACCCACAGGAGCACAAGTCACAGATGCACTTCCTCTTCGCGGGGGCCATCATCGCTCAGAGCACCCCTAGTCGCAGCCTCCTCATGGACCCCAACCGCCTGGTAGTGGGAGGAACCTTATGGTCTAGGGCCTTGGTAGAGGTTGGGAATGGTTGCTCGAAACAAAACCTAAACGGCCCTTTTGCAAAAAAAAATCCTGTGGTCTGTTCCCTTCCTGAGACAGGCCTTGGGCAAGTGAGCAGCACGGAACATGGGCAGCGCTCCAGCCTGGGCGACCCGCTCCCACTGCACTCTGCCGCTGTCCCTGCAGCCCGGACTGCGCTTCTGCAGCGGCCGGCCGGGCCCCTGGAAGCCGGGTGTGCCTAGGCCACAAGAGTCCTCTGTGACGTCTCCAGGGCCTCGAGGGGCACACACTGGAGTGGCCATGGCGTCACAAGTGTAGCTTGTGAGGTCGGGAAGCTCCTGGGGACTCACGTGGCCCAAGACAGTCTTCCCTCATTGGACCTTGGAAGAAAGACGGAGAATGATGCATGGACAGCTGTGGAAAGTATCCAAAACAGCAAAATATCATGGTCGTGTGTGCAAAAGAGGAGGCAAACTCCACGGCCAGCACAATGGGTAGCTTTTCTAACTCTTGGCTCCCTGATGCCCCTTTTTATGGAAAGGCTTCCTTTTGGTTCTGGAAGTCTGGCCTTGACTCCCAGTCCCAGATCCTGATGCAGAATCTATGCATCTGGCTTCGGCTTCTGGTGTCTGTTGGAAACAAGGCTGTTGAAGAGCGCACAGGCCTTTCTGGCTCAGGTGGGTGCAGAGCAGTGCTCTCCAGTGTTAGTGGACATCAAAACCACCTGGCCTCGTAAAAACAAGATTACTAGCCCCCACCTCCGCAGTTTCTTCAAGAGGTCTGGGGTTTCTGAAATTTGCATTTCCTCCAAGTTTTCAAGCAAAGCTGCTGGGCTAGAGACCTCACCCTAAGGACTGGGATTTCACCAATTCTTTTGCTCTCCCTGTCCAGCCATCTAGTATTGTGTCTGTCAGCTTCCCTGGTCCTCAGCACCTCTACAGAACAAAGCCAAGTGATTTTGATTTTTTTTTTTGTTTTGTTTTTGTTTTTTTGTACTGAGAATTGAACTCAGGACCTTGCCCTGGGCAGTTAAGTGCTTATACTGCTGAGCTATAGCCCCCGTCCCAAACCAGGTGATTCTGATCTTGAAGCAAAGCCAAGACACTCAGCTTGTGATAAAATGTTTGTGACTTCCTGCTTGTGAGAAATGTCAGCTTAAAGTACTGACAGTCTTCATTTTTCTTGCCAATACTTCCTAATTCTTTTCAGTAATTTTAGTGAATGAGTCAAGAGGCATCCTGCACTGCAGGACATTTGATATGCAAAAGAGTTTTGGGTATTTGGGGTTGTTGGCTTGGTTTTTTAATGATAGGCTCTAGGACCAAGGTCAGCAAGCTATTGCCTGCATGCCCAGTTCACCTTGTATATTTGTGTTCAGCTAAACAACTTGCTATCTTCCTGCCTCAGCCTCCAGAGTGCTGGGATTATGGACTTGCACCACTGTACCCAGATTTTTACATTTTTAAATGGTTGAAAATTTAAAGTAACTTTGTATGGTGCATAAAACATGTAAAATTCAAGTTTTAGTGTCTGTAAAGATTTAAATTTTGTCTAAACTGTAGAAGTATTCTTGATTTTGTTTCATTGCCAACAAGAGCTAAAATATTTAGTATCAAGTTTTACAGGAAAAAAAAATTCCCTGTCCAGTTCTAGAAAGTTAAAATGGTAGATTCAGAGAAGAGCAAAGTTTCCATTCTTAAGACAGGCGTTGACATGGCCAAACACACCAAGAAGGCAGGCATTGTTGATAAATGTGGGGCCTGTTATGGTGCCTCATTGTAGAAAATGGTGAAGAAAATTGAAATAAGCTAGTATGCCAACTACACCTGTGTGGTTAAGACCAAAATGAAGAAATAGGATATAGGGATGGATCTGCCACTGTGGTTTCCACATGAAAACAGTGGCTGGTGATTCCTGGACCTACAATACCACCTCTGTGATCACTGTCAAATTGGCCCTCAGAAGACTAAGGGAACTGAAAGGCCAGGGGAGCAGAGCCCACATGCCGTTCATTGCCGTGCTCAGGAGATATCACCGGGTCCTTCCAGAGAAACTAGAGTGCTGGACACCACCTTCTCTTGCCAACTGCCCAGATATTACCCATGAATCTTCCAGAGTGAAACCCAATTCTTGCACCCAATTCCCTATTTAACCCCACATGACCCTTGTCTTTCCCAATAATCAGGTGCAGTTTGTGTCATTCCTTGTTCAGAAAGAAGGTATTGGGGCAGCTCCCCCCATTAGCCTGTCCATTGTGTAATATGCTGAACTGCATGAGAGCAAGCCAGTCAGCGACAGGAATGGCCACAGAAAATAATGATCTGCATTCTCTTGAGATCTGCAGAACTGGGAAACATCTTGTGACTAGGTGATTGGGATCATATGTGTCCTTTGGCCACCACCAGTGAGAAGGTGCCCACCAGTCTGATCATCCATCTGCTATATAAACCTTCCCTGAATCAGCCACCCAGTGGGATAGCTCATTAAGGTTGAGAGTGCTTGCATCTCATAATCACCTAATTTATCACAATAAGGTTTTTTCCCTACCATTATTTTGCCTCCTGACCAAGTGGTTTCTGTCATACTGCAATCAGAGAGAGCTTTCTGCGTGGTAACAGATGCCCCCTTCCATTCAAATGCCCCTTGTGGATATTTACCTTGTCAACTACCCTAGCACTCCCAATTGCTTGTATCCCTGCTTCCTATGCTGGGCAGAGATCTTGAAAGGTAAACAATGAGTGGATAACAGCTTCAACAATGGCCAGCAAGTTACTGGCTAGTGCTGGACACTAGAACAGCCTCTCTGTGCCCTGATTATACTTATTGCCTGTAGTTTCTTGCTGCTGTGCACTAACCCATCTAAAGACCTCACTAAACCTGACCCAAAATTTCCCAGCTATAAACTATTGTCACTTGATATTCACCAGACCATTCTAGATATTTTTCTATAATGCTCTCCTGTCTCTCAATCCATGTTTGCAGCACACAGTGTTTACAGTGACTGTGGTGAGCTGGTGCCTGCACATCACACGTTAATTTTTTTGCCTCTTCCCACCCCATGCCCTCCCCTTTCATTTCTTGGTCCCCTTTGCTTTTGCAAAAGTTCCATCTTCCTGTTTTCTATTATCTCTCTTTTATGTTCCTTATTTATATTTTGAGTTTCTCATATAAGAGAAACCATGTGCTGTATAAACTTGTATCCGATTTAGTTCATGCAAAACTCTGGTCATGAGATGCATCTATTTTCCCACAAATGTATAAAACTTATCTTCTTTTTGGCAGAGTAGTGCTCCAATTGTACTCCATTTCTTTCCTTTTTGTTCTTTATTCTCCTTCTGTGTAAGAAACCACATGGCATTTAAGCTTATGTGTCTAATTTCACTTACCATTGTCTTCCAGGTGCATCCATTCTTCTACAAATGGTTCAAATTCACCTTTTTATAGCATAATAATTTTCCATTGTGTATAAATATCACATTTTTTATCCATTCATCTGTTGATGGACATATAGGCTGTTTCTAAGATTAGGCTATTATGAATTGTGCTGCTATAAACATTGGTATGCATGTATCAAAGCAACAGGATGTCTCTAACTCTTCCAGGAAAATACCTAGCAGTTGAAAATACCTAGGAGCTGGGTTGAAAGCAATTTCTGATTTTAGTTTTTTGAGGAACCCCCACACTGATTTCTGTAGTGGCTGTACTGGTTTACATCCCCACCAACAGTGTAGGAGCATTCCTTTCTACCTGCAGTGAATATTTATTGTTACTCGACTTCTTAATGTTTGCCATTCTCTAACAGCCAGTGACACTGAATATTTCTTCTTGTATTTGTGGGCCATTTACATTCCTTCTGTGAAGTATGTATTCCTTCCAGTCACCCATTATTTCAATTGGGTCTTTTATTTTGGGAGATCTAATTTTATTATGTTCTTTCCAGATGTTAGTCCTCTATTTGAAGAAAAGTTGGGCAAAAAATTCCCATTCTGTAAGTTATCCCTTCACTCAGTTGTTTCTTTTGCTGTGCAGAAATTTAAAACTTGATATGACCTCATTTGTTGATTCTTAATGTTATTTCTTGTGTAGTTTTGGGTTCTGTTCACAAAGTCCTCATCTCTCTTTCTCAAGCAAATCTAGAATTTAGTATAAAATATTGACAATGAACTAATCACAGATAAAAACTTGACAAATATATCAAATTCATACTACAAATCAGAACACTAAAGCTAGGAAGTGAACTCAAGATCACATTACTGCCAGGTGTGGTGGCACACACTTGTAATCCCAGAACTCTGGGAAGCTGGAGGAGGATCACAATTTTGACCCTAATGTGAGCAACTAGCTGCTTATTGAACCCTGTCTTTAAAAAGCGCTGAGGCTGTAGCACTTGGTGTGAAGGTCCGGGTTCAAGAAAGCAAGCAAGAAAGCCCCACAGCTACTTAATGAGCAATAAATCTCAGATTCACTCACTTTGGTCTTTGCAAACTTGTCCTCCAGATAAAAGGTCAAAAAGAATGAATGGGTAAGATGGAGAGCTCTGAACCCACTGCAAGCAGTAGCTGATCTTAAAATTTTACATTTATTGCCATGAGAGTAGCTCAACTACCGTGGCCTGGGTTTGATCCCTCCACCATATTAGGAAAAAAATACATCTTAACATGGCCATTTTTGTTAAACATTTTCCACAAAATATTTTAGTAAATTTGATAGTGGAGCTGTAAAACTTTTATTCTGTTGCTTTATAGCATACCCAACCCCACATTCATTGTTGTGTACCATTTGAAGACCTAAGTTTTCTGGAATTCTGTTGAAAATTCAGTTATTCTTCTGGGTACACAGCAGTTTATCAGGACACTGTCTTTTTAGCAGCTTTACCTGTTTAGGATCCCTAAACTTCACCGTCACCAAGAGAAGTCTAGCCCACCATCAGACGCAGAGGAGATCCTGTAGGAAACGTAAAAGTGCACGATGGCAGTACTTTGCTTCACACTGAAGAGAAGGGGATCTGGGAAGCAGTGGGTGAGCAGAACCCCAGACAGACAGATCTCCTGATAACCCAGGCAAATAACTTCTGTAGCCAAGGTTTATGCTGTCCAGTGTAAAGAACTTAGATGATCAAGGTCATTATTGGCACATGGTCACTATTGTGTAGTTCAGTACAGATGGAGACAGCAGCTGAGGACTGCTGGGTGCAGACAATGGCTGGGAGCCCCCTGTGTGGCTGAACAGATGGACTGAGATGCTTAACCCAATCTACAGTTCTGTGTTTCTTCTTCCAGCTGCCTGAATCTCAAGTCTGAACTGGCGAAAGGCAGACTTCTACTCAACCTCTCATTCATTCCACAGATTGATCACCTATGATGAGCTAGGAACTGTGGTCAGTGATGAGGACACACGTCAGTGCCCTCATGGAACCTAACCTAGAGAGGATCTGCAGAGCCAGGGTACCCAAGAGGGTCATTAGGGAACAACTACAAGTATCAAGAAAGAAAAATGGGGGACTTACTGAATTCTAACAAATATTTAAGGAAGAAATAAATATCAATCCTCCACATAAACAGGGAAAAACAAGTATGTGTGTGTATGCATACATGTATGATAGTTAAGACAATTATACTACTGATTTCTCTTAACTGATTGAAAGATTTGTGATATTTTTGGACAATTAAATATCTGTATCTTAGAGTAACTAAAGATAACAGTACACAGTGCATTAACCATTGTTTCCTCTTATTTTGAAATTTTGTTTTTTCTCTCTAAAATAAAATTTTAAAATTAAATTTAAAAAAATCTTACACATAATCTCTTAGGGAAACAAAAAAGGTAGGAACATTCCCCAATTCACTCAAAGAGGCCATGTTACTGATTCCAAAGCTAGAGGAAAAAATGTCACATAAAAACTACAGACCTATATTTTTCATGAATATAAGTAAAAAGCCTTTTAAAACATTAGCCAGTAACAAAAATCCAGCAACAGGGCTAGGGATATAGCTCAGTGGCGTAAGTGTCTGCTTGGCAAGCATGAGGTTGTGAGTTCAATCCCCAATACCAAAAAAAAAAAAAAAAAACCCAAGCCAACAATATATAAGGATGACACACCATGACCGAGAGGATTATCCCAAAGAGCACAGGTGGTTTTAACATTGCAAATCAATTAATACAGTATGACACATCAATAAACCAAATACAATAAAACCAACTTAATCTTCTCAACAGATTCATAAAAAGCATTTACAAGCAATGAAAATCATTTTTTATTAATATATGTTTGCAGTATATAATAATTACATTTATGGGGAGATTTTGTACATATACATATCTTTTTCTCATTTTTTGTCCCATTCCATTCCCATCCCTCCCTGTTCCAACTCTTACTTTCTTTGCAAGAGTTCTATTTTCATTTTTTTCAATTATTTTTAAAATTCCTTTCTCCTTCCTCCCTACTTCTCACTCCATCTCTTGCTCCCCTTCACATTTGAAAAAGATCTCCCTACTTATAATTATCTTTTATTTTGCTCTTTATAGTTTGGGTTACCTCATGATGTGGTAAACTTGTGTGTGTATGATTTATTTCACTTAACATTATGGTCTCAAGGAGCATCCATTTTCCTACAAATGATTCACATTTATCCTTCTTTATGTCAGAGTAGTACTCCATTGTATATAAATAACATCTTCATCCACTCATCTGTTGATAAGCATATAAGCTGCTAAAAACATGAGTGAGGGGGGCTGGGGATTTAGCTCAGCGGCATAAGCACCTGCCTTGCAAGCAGGCAGTCGTGAGTTCGATTCCTGGTACCGATAAAAACGAAAAAGACCAAAAAAAAAAAAAAAAAAACATGAGTGAGCACATATCACTGTAACATGATGACCTTTACTTTTCCAGGAAGGTACCTAAAGGGAAATAGCTCAAAGGAATTTCTACTTTTAGTTTTTGACCTTCTGATTTCTGTGGTGGTTTACTAGTTAACATTCCCACTAACCATACAGAAGCATTCCCTTCTCCCTTGATGCTGTGTCAGCATTTCTGACTCTCATCCTTGAAAATAATTTTCAACAAATTAAGAAAACTCCCACAGTTTAATAAAGGATACTGTCAAGCGGCTTTGGCTGTCACACTGCTTAGAGCTCCCCCCACACCAACACAATGACTATGACAAGATGACGGCTGCCTCTGCCTACATTTCTCACCCACAAGAGACTCAAGTTGTATTTAAAAAAGAGATTAAAGGGATCCAGACTGGAAAGAAAAAATACAACTATCTTTATTTGTATACACAGGATCATTTATGTAGAATTCCTAAATCTATTTTTTGGAGAAAAACAAGAAATGAATTCAGCAAAGTTGCAGTATGCAAGATCAATATAAAAGAAAAATTTTAAGGGCAGGGATGTAGGTCAATGTGAAGTCCTTGGGTTAAATCCTCAGTACGAGAGAGAGAGAGAGAGAGAGAGAGAGAGAGAGAGAGAGAGAGAGAGAGAGAGAATACATGCCTTGATTAATTTGCTGCAACGCTAACTCAAAAGAATGGAAGGGAAAACCCAAAATGATGATGAAAAGAGAACAGCACTTGTGGAGCAGACTCCAATGGTGCAGAAGAAATGTCCCCAAGGAAGTGAGACTGAGTATGAATATACTAAGCGATTTCCACGTAACATTTTCCATTGTGATATTTCATCCTATTTTCATTTTTTAAAAAAGACCAATTTTTAGCTTGTTGCACAAATTAACTCAGTGCCCTATGCATACTAGCCACTCAAATGTTTTGAATGAAAGGAATGGACTATCTGCATTTGTACGGCCTTGTATGCAACCTGAAAAGGGCTTAAAAATAAGCCTCAAACATCTTAACTTAGGAGGCTTCAACATCCTGATGATAATGCTGCTTTATTCTGAATAATAGGACACTGATTCATTCACCTACCTGAAGACTAAGAATCATATCGAAGGAGGGGAGTGTTACAGGTTAAGTATAAAACTGGTCTACTTAATCGCCTCCATGTTGAACTGTGACTAAACTTTATGGTTAGGGGATTCTTGCCGAAACTAGGTCATACTGAAACTAGGTCTATGAGTAAATACCAGGAAACATCTGTCCTAAAAACTGCCCTGGAAACTGAGGTAAACGTGCCCCAAAGGGACAAACAGCAAAAAAAAAAAAAAAAAAAAAAAGGGCCTGGGGATTTAGCTCAGCTGCCTAAGCACCTGCCTTGCAAGCAGGCAGTCATGAGTTCAATCCCCGGTACCGATAAAAAAAAAGACGAAAAAAAAAAAAAAAAAAGCCACCTGTTTCTTGTGAAATTTTACCAGCAGAACTCCCATCACGCTAAAAGGCCTTAAACAGCAATGCAAGCTTCACTTCTGGGCCAGCTGGTTGGAGCGTACCCATTGTTAGTGGACTGCTAGTGGCTCGCCATTGAGCTCAATTATTAATAAATATTAACTGATTACTATTCAATTTGGCCTATTTAATCTTAGTCTCGTCTGTGAACGCACCACGAGTTATAGTCAATTCTGTAGTTTCAATCTAATTTGATGATTAAATCTTGGATTTTGTCTCTTTAAACGTTTTTCATCCCCAGGATTAATGTGAGAAGGGGGCTGATGCATGACGTCCCACATTACAACTTTCTCAAACTCCTTGGGGTTTGTTTTTGTTTTGTTCGATTGAGCTACACCCCCAAGTCTTCCTTTTCTTCTGTTTTGTACTCTTCCTTTTTTTTGAGACAGGGTCCCGCTGTGCAGTTCAGGCTAGCCTTGGGCTCACTTTGTAGCCTAGGCTGGTCTCCAACTTGCAAACAATTCTCCTGCCTCAGCCTCCCAAGTGCTGGGACTACAGGAGTGAGCCACCACACCATTTTTGGTTCCCCTCCCCTCCCCGGGACCCTTCTCAATAAATCGCTATGTGGCCCAGGCTGGACTAGAATTTGCGATCCTCCTACCTCGTTTCCCAGAGCGCTGGGATTACAAACCTGCAACGCCACACCTGGCTATTTTGGAATTCTGATTATAAACTCTCAAGTCCAAGATTACGAGACAATCAGATGTGTTACAGGAACTCGTCTGGAAATGAAAAAGCACTAACCAGGAGAAAAAGCACTAACCAACGTTCCTAGCAGCGTTGAGCAATCACTTTTAACTTCTTTCCTCATCTGTACAGTTTTCATCTGCCTCCCTAAGTGGCCCAGGAAGTCAGGCCTTCCCTCCCCTTCACTCGCCAAAAGCCCTCTTGACTCAAGCCAGACGGCTGTGGTAGCGGTGTTGTGGGGATTCTGGCCAAGAGAGGGCAGAATTCTCCCGACAGCCACGCACGCACCTCCTTGTAAGAAAACCCTCACATGAAGCAGAAAAAGCACAGAGTTCCTGGTTTTCTCTTCCATTTCGTCTCTCTTGTCACCGCTACTACGTTTCATTTAAAGTACCTGCGTCTCAGCAAGCCGTAGAAACAACACGGTGCTGAGTTCTCGCGAGATCGTCGCCGGAAGTAGGGGGCGGCGAGACCGCAGCGTTCTCACGAGATCACCCCGGTAGTGGATGGCGGCCGGAACTTATGTGCTCGCTTCGCTGCAAAGCTAGCGTTTAAAAGGGTTACAGCTGGCTCTCCCAAGCGCTCTCTTCTGAGAGCTGCCCCGCTGCGGCCTCTTCGACTCGAGCTCATGCTTTTGGCTTCCCCGACTGCACTACTTCGCGGATCGTAGTCCAGCCCGCAGAGCCCTCTCCCGCCCCTCCCTCGGTGCTACAGTTAGGCCGCGCCCTCAGAACCAGTCCGCGGCGGCCCCGGCCGGTGATGCCAAATACAGCCATGAAGAAAAAGGTGCTGTTGATGGGAAAGAGCGGGTCGGGGAAGACCAGCATGAGATCCATTATCTTTGCAAATTATATTGCTCGCGACACCAGGCGTCTGGGTGCCACCATTGATGTGGAGCACTCCCACGTCCGATTCTTAGGGAACCTGGTGCTGAACCTGTGGGATTGTGGCGGTCAGGACACCTTTATGGAAAATTACTTCACCAGCCAGCGAGACAACATCTTCCGAAATGTCGAGGTTTTGATTTACGTGTTCGATGTAGAGAGCCGCGAACTGGAAAAGGACATGCATTATTACCAGTCATGTCTGGAGGCCATCCTCCAGAACTCACCAGATGCCAAAATCTTCTGCCTGGTGCACAAAATGGATCTAGTTCAAGAGGATCAGCGTGACCTGATTTTTAAGGAGCGAGAGGAAGACCTGAGGCGTTTGTCTCGCCCACTGGAGTGCGCCTGTTTTCGAACATCTATCTGGGATGAAACGCTCTACAAGGCCTGGTCTAGTATTGTCTATCAGCTGATTCCCAACGTTCAGCAGCTGGAGATGAACCTAAGGAATTTTGCTCAAATTATTGAGGCTGATGAAGTTCTGCTGTTTGAGAGAGCGACCTTCTTGGTGATTTCTCATTACCAGTGCAAAGAGCAGCGTGACGTCCACCGGTTTGAAAAGATCAGCAACATTATTAAGCAATTCAAGTTGAGCTGCAGTAAGCTGGCCGCCTCCTTTCAGAGCATGGAAGTTAGGAATTCTAACTTCGCTGCTTTCATCGACATCTTCACATCAAACACGTATGTGATGGTTGTTATGTCGGATCCCTCCATCCCTTCTGCCGCTACTCTGATCAACATTCGCAATGCCAGGAAACACTTTGAGAAGCTAGAGAGAGTGGATGGCCCCAAGCACAGTCTCCTGATGCGTTAAATGTTGCCAAATGCTCGTTATGAAGATGCGTATTTTTTTTTCCGTATCCTGTTTTTAATATTCATGATGTCGTATGCTTAGAAGTGGTCTTTGAGATGTGTGCTGCTTATTACTTCCATTTGTTTCTTCCAATTCTCTAAACATTGGCACTATTTACTGAGCTATCCAGTAGAGCTTCAAGATGGCTTTTCTGAAAAGTTGGTGTGGTGTAACACTACAGTACGTGGTTTGTGTGTGTTCTGACTGCCTGGTTATGATATGCACATGAAAGCCTTTACCAGTATCTTCCTGTATTATCAGATTGCAAAGATGGGATGTTACTATTTTATCAACAAGATATTAAAAATGCATTTACACATTCTTTGCTTTAATCATGAATAAACATTTCTTGTTAGCAATTTAAAATATGGCCTTACTCTAAATAACTTGAAGGTGCTTAAGTGTCTCCAGAGATTCTTACTGCCCACAAATGTAGCCAACTTGATTTTTGTGAGCCTAGCCCCATCGTATTAGTGAGGCTTGATAGCAGCTGTGGTTGAATATGGGACTCAGCTAGGCTATGTAGTGAGTTAGTATTGTGATCTTTCACTTACTACCTCTGTGGACTTGAGGGAGACAATTTTACCGAGCTTGTTTCCTCATTTGTAAAATATAGTTAATACCACTACTTCATAGAATGTTAAAAAGATGTGCAAAGCATTCAAAAAGGTGCCTAGCATAAAACCTGTACTATTGGGTGTTATTACCATGTAGTGAGCCATTTCTCCCCCAAATTACTGCATGTAGTCTAGGGTGGTTTTTTGTCTTGTTTTGAGGCAGAGTTACATTATATAGTTCAAGCTGTCCTTGAACTCACTATGGTTAGTAGTCTCAGCTGGCCTCAAACTAGGTGTAGTCTTGGGATTACAGGCATGTACCAGCACACCTGGCCCTATCTAAATATGTATTTGAGCCCTCTTAAATACCATGTATTATCCAGGAGTAGTGGTGTATGCTTTAATCCCAGCACCTGGAGGAGGCTGAGTCAGAACTGCAAGTATGAGGCCAGCCTAGAATAAAGAGAGCCTGTCTCAAAAAATAAACTGAGTACTTAGTGTCCATTTATCTTTATCTCACAAACTGTGAAGTATGTTGCTTTTATCTGTGTTGTTATAGGTAAATCAAGGCCATCTAACTAAAGACTTCCCCCTCCTATTACACCCCACCATATTACTTCCACTGACAGAAAGTTGATCATAAAAAACTAGTTTTTTAGTTGTAGATTACTCCCTTAAATAATTGCAGTTTTATGTATCTGAAGATGCTAATCCAGGAGGTTAAGCAAGTCTTTCAAAGAATAGCGTTTGCTTACTTTGGGTAAGATCACTTTCATATTATCTGGAAATTGGTTAATAGCTAACATTCTGAGATTAAGTACTTTCAGGGAATAATGCTGTGGTAACTACTTTGATGTTGACAATGTGATACAACTGAAATTAGGAAACAGACATAAGATGGACCATTCCAGTTCTGGTAATAGCTGTTTTAAGTGAATCTTAAGTATTTTAGAGCCAAGAGACTACTGATCAACTCATTTTACAGATGAGGCAATGTCTTTGTAGAAAGCAAATATAGATCTTAAGTTTCTGAGGCTTTATAAAGTTATTTAAAATTTATTAAATCCTCTAGCAGCAGATGTGATGATAGGGGTCTCTACCCATGAAGAATCATCTAAGTAGGATCACCGGCAGTAAGACTTCAGTTGATAAAAATTGCACAGATACAATTTTTAAAATACTACATGTTTTGGGGGCCAGGGAGATAGCTCAGTGGTACAAGCACCTGTCTGGTAAGTGCAAGATCCTAAGTTTGATACCAAAAAAAAAAAAGCTACATGTAAATCTAGTAATTCAGATGGTGACAATGAATACTCTTACCTGAACCACTGACCCTCTCAAATTTATTTTGTTGGTCAGTTGTTACACCTTTGTATGATCATTTTATGGCTTGCAAGTTACAGTTCTCTGATACAGGAAATTCCAGAGACTGATGGCATAATACAGAAGGTTTACTCCAGACAGTATATTGAACGTACTTAAAGATAGTCCTGTACAGCACTCACAAGTATTTCAAACCCAGGGTGCCAGTTCACAGTGCATAAGGAAAGAGGTGATCTTTTTTTTTTTTTTTGTCTTTTTCCTTTTTATTGGTACCAGGGATCGAACTCACGACTGCCTGCTTGCAAGACAGGCGCTTATGCCGCTGAGCTAAATCCCCAGCCCCAGAAGGAGGTGTTCTTTAAAGCTACTATCTATCTGAACTTTGTGCAAAAGAAAATTTTAACAAATACTTTTAAGTGGGCCAGGCCCTGTGATACACTCCTGTAATCCCAGCATCCTGGAGGTGAGGCATGAGGACTGCATAAATTTGGGGCCAGCCTGAACTATAAAGTAAGTTCAAGGCCAGCCTGAACTGCACAAGTATACACATAGTAAGGGAAAGATACATTTTTTTTTGTGGGGGTTTTTGGTTGTTTTGGTATTAAGGATTCAACCTAGAGCCTGCAACATGCTAAGCAAATGCTATACTACTGAGCTGTATCCTCAGCTAGGGTTCGCTTTACCTTAATAAGAGTCTCAAGAATCCCCGTTTTTCCTTTAGATAATGTACTGACTTCCCCTTTTATCACTGAGAAACTAATGGCAAAGAAAAGGTTTCAAAATACCTGTCAGTATTCTTGTTTTCAATTAAATTCCTTCAAAATGTTTCTTTAACTTGATATTCATTCTACTTGATAATATTTTTCATGGTCAGTAACATTCTGTGTATCTTCAAACATTTAAAATAAGTAAGGGTAAGGTTATACATGGTAGAGTATGGTTAGTGTGTGTGAGGCCTTGGGTTCAATCCCTGCATCAGTTACAGCAATATAATTAGGACATACTGTTACCTACTTAATGTAGAAGTCAGCTTATATACCTTTAAATCTTAACAGTGACCAAAGTAGAACGCCTTCTGTGTAATGTCATGGATGAGAAAAAAAATCCAAGCCCTCTGTACCATTTCACTGTGTAGGAAAAAACAAAATTCCGATACTTAAGTATTTGCTAATAATGATACCTGATACTGGAATGTATGAATGTATCTATGTGTATGCATACACACTCCACACACCTGTAATATAAGCAAGTGTGTGTATATATGTAACTGGTGTTGTAACAGGCCAGATGTGCACACCTGTAATCCCAGCTACCCAGGCTTAAGCAGGATTGCAAGTTCAAGGCTATAATAGGCCATTTAGTGAGTCTTTATCTCAAAAGGGTGGGGGGCCAGGCATAGTATGCCATGCCTGTAATCCCAGCACTTAGGAGGCTGAAACAGGATCACCAATTGAAGGCCAACCTGGGCTATGTAGTGCCTTCACGCTCAGCCTGAACTATTTAGTGAGACCCTATCTAAAAAAACGAAGGGAAGGGGCCCTGAATATAGCTCATCACTCCTTGGCTCCACCCCAGTACTGCAAGTAAGTACAACAGATCAGATACAACCATGAAAAAACAAAGCAATAAAACTCTAAATAAATAAAAACTAGAGTTCAAGGAAGGAATAGGCACATGAATATAGATAAAAGACTTCAAAGTGGAAATGAGATTTTTTTGAGCATTAAAAGAGCTGTATACCTATGATAAACTTCAAGGGAAAAATAAGGTACTCAAACTTCAAAATCATGATTCAAGATTTCTAAGCATCCAGGTTTAAACATTTCAGTAGAAAGTGGGATATCAGTGGAAAGGGAAATACAGGAAACCAATGGAAGAGATTTTATATGCCTTTACATTTGAATCCTAGGTTAGTATTGAGCCCTTAATGGGTTTCTAAACAAGGAGGTGACACCAAGGCAGTTCCTTATGGTTAAGAAGCAACTGTACAGGAGGTACTGGCTAGGGAAGAGGTTGAAGGCAACAAGCTAGTCAGTGATTATAAAGGAATAACAGATTTGAGATGATGGTACTGCACAGGAAAGACAAAAGAACATCAGACTTTCAGCTGTGATACCACAGGTAAGAGTGTGATTTTTACAAATTCAGTATTCATAGATTTTTTTTTTCACAGATTCCTTCCTCCAGTATTGGGGATCAAATTCAGGGGCCCTATCACTAAGCACTCCCAAACCTTTCTTGAAGCCAGCATCCTGGAATTTACTTGAGCTGGTCTGTCTTCGTGCTGCACCCTCTGGAGTAGGTAGGATTACAGTTTTGCAGCCCTGCATCTGGCTTCATCTTTGAGTCTCAGTAATTAAGGACCTCCCACTTTACTGGTGAACTTGAATTTCTCTACCAGTTCGTTAATTTTAAGATAGTTAACTCTCTTTAAAGCAGTAGAATACCTGCTTCATAAAGGTACTTCAGAGCTAAATGTAATCTCTATTCCCCATCAGTTCTCAAACTTTTTACTGAGCCTATGAATTACTAGAAAACAGTGTAGACTTCTAAATCCTACTTTCAACATGTATTTTAAAAAATATTTGTCAGAATCCATGTGTGTAGTACACACCTGTAATCAGCAGGACCTCAAATTCAAGGCTAGCTTGGATTACACAGTAAGACCCCTACCTCTTTTAAAAAAAAAAAATGCCTATCATTTTCACACAATCAGTTCTTAAGTCATTTAAGTTTTCTGACTTCCAGTGTAAGACTAAGTACCACTTTAGAGTTGCAACTATATAATGAATTAATATGTATTAAATATCAAACAGTAGTCCTACCCCTCCCAAACACCAATTTAGTGTTTAAAGATACTGAGGTTTCTTAAAGGAGAAGAGAATGATTTCCAGCAAACCTACGAAGTCCTTAACTTGTTGTGTTGATAAATAAAGGAACATGGCACCTGTTACGGTTTAGATTAGAAATGTTCCCCAAATGTATATGGCTTGGTTGCCAGCTGATGGGCTTTTGAGAAATAACAGGATCATGAAGGCTCTAACTTCAAAGTAGATTAACCCACTGCTGAGATCATAGTCTGATGGCATTATAAAGAGACAACAGAGGGTGGGGCCTAATTGAAAGGTGTGGCACATACTCTGGTGGGGACCCTTTCTCTCTGACTTTTGCCCTTTCTCTTCGTTCTGGCTACCACACCATTCTACCATGATGCTCTGCCTCACTTCAGGCCCACAGGAATGGAATCGGTGTACCATGAACTGAAACCTCTGAAATCATGAACCAAAATCAAAGTTTTCTCCTCTAAACTTTTTTCTCAGGTATGTGGCCACGGTGATGAAATATCAACACATCACCTTCTTTTCTTTAGCACTGCCAAAGACTGGTTTTCAAACTGGAACACAACAAGTAACTGACAAAGAAGAAAGACAGTCCAACTGAAGAGAGAGAATTACACCCATCTACTTTCAGAATTCTTCCACCTTCTTTCTCTCACCAGATTCTTATGGGTTAGAGAACAAGATTTTAATAGTTACAAAGTGAAGCTCTACAGAGGGTACTGAAGGGGATCACTCTTCCAATGCCTGTTCCATTCCTCCTAGCTCACAGAGGTGATGGTATATATTCCTTTGCATGCTAGAAACCCATTTCTAAGCCAGTAGGCCTAAAAGAGTGAGATAAAAGACTACAAATGTTGTTAGTTACTTAAACTCAAATTCAGTTTTCTAAAGATATTTTGGAATCTTTTTGTAGGCACCTGGGAACTTTTAATAATTTCTGAGCAGCAAAATAACAGCAATTAAAACTAGTTGTTTCCCCCAAAACAGCACCCTACTCCTCCCCCGCCAAAAATCACCAACAATTAAACAGGCTAATAATTTTTTTTAATTTACACATTTTGTTAAAATATAAACTAGCATTAAATTTGCAGTCTAAATTAGACTAAATAGAAATATTATACAACCCCATGAATGGATTTATAGTTTGACAGTTTCCTTAAGTGTCATCATCTTCCACCTTTTTCCTTTTCTCTAAATCTCTGCCCTAGTCTTTACTTACCACATGTACTTTATTCCATCAAATTGGACTTTCAGAATCTACTTGAATAATCCTTAAATCAATTTAGAACATTTTAGACAATTTTAAAATTTGTCTTTTTGACAAAGATCCCAAGGTACTACTTTTCTCACTTTTTTAATTAGTACCAGAATGTTCCATAGAGAACCAATTAAGTGTTTTAGTTCTCTAAAATGAAAGATGAGTATATTTAGTGGCTATTAGTTTATCCAATTAGTAGCAGTACATCAAAAGCTACGCTTCTTTATATTAATTAACTGAAATTATAAATTAAACTACTTTTGTTATTTACTTAATGCTTTCAAGATTATTCACAATAACAAAATAACTTCCCATAACTTGACACTTGCTTTCAAAAAACTTCACATTTCATCTTCATATCATTATGAAGAAAAATATACAAATACACTTTTCTTATCTAAAAACATTACAAGAGGCTAAAAGGTATTTAGGATCTTTATACATCTTTGAAAAATAGTGTTACACTTCCAACATGTATTAAGTTATAAATCAGTTTCCATTCTGCAACACAGCTTCAATTTAAATACATCATAGTTAAATTAGTCAGGTACTGCATCAGCTTGTCGAGTCATTTGTTTGCATCCAGGCTCTTATTCATGATTTCTTCTTCTGTAAAATTGATTTTAAAAAAGAAAGTGATGAACAACATTACCAAAAAATAAAAAGATTCCAAGCAAAAGCAAATTCCTTAGTTTGAAAAGGCTCATCTTGTGGAAATACTCTTAACTATGATAAAGTTACCATTTTTCTTACTGAAGTATCTTTCTCCAGAGAGTATCAGATTCTTCCTAGAATATTTTTCAAAATACCAGCATTTATCATAGGTAAATTGAGTGTATCACTGACTTTAAATATGTCCTAACACTTAAGAAGGGCAATTTTTTAAATTTTTATGATGAAAATTTTCCAACACACAAAAGTGAACAGAATTATGAGTAAGCCAGTATATCTAACATATGGTTTCAATTAATACTAATAATTATGGGTTGAATTGTGTCCCTCAAAAATTGTTGAAATTCTAACCTCAGTACCTCAGCACATGGCCGTAATTAGAAAGTCAGTCATTATATATATGATTAGTATAAACAGGCCATACTACATAGGCTCTTTAATATAACCAGTTTCCTTGTAAAAAGAGACAGACACACGAGTCATGTGAAGACAGACAAGAATTGGAGTTATGAAAAAAAAAGTGGCATTATGATGCCACAAGTCATGGAGGCTCGTACTTCCCTTGATATATAGATAGGTCTTCATACCCAGGGTAAGCAGAGGCAGGGGAGAAATAAGCGAGGATTCTCCACTAACGGCTTTGGGGAGAACCCAGAGATTTGGGGCTTCTAAAAGTCAATGTCTTCAGAAACAAGAAATTTCAATAATCCCGTTTGTGGTGCTTTGCTACAGCCCAGGACACTAAAGCAATGACTGACCTTGTTTCGTTTCTACTCCCCTTTCCTACCACCAAATTCACTTCCCAGCAAATCTCATATATTACACCAAAACAACAGTGAATTTTGCTTTGCTCTTCTGAGACAAGGCGTCACTTTGTAATGCAGGCTGGCCCCAGACTGGCCTCAAACTTGGGGCAATTCTCCTGCCTCAGCCTCCTGAGTCCTGAGATCACAGGTGTGCGCCACTATGCCCATCTTATAACAATGACATTTAAAAGTGTTTCTCAACCTCTTAGAAGCCACTTTCCATTAGATTTTTTTTTTTTTTTTTTTTTTTTTGGCTTTTTCGTTTTTATTGGTACCGGGGATCGAACTCACGACTGCCTGCTTCCAAGGCAGGTGCTTATGCCGCTGAGCTAAACCTCCAGCCCTTTCCATTAGATTTTAATGAGATTTATATTCAGTAATTTAGATTACAAAAGCAGTAGATTTCAAAAAACAAAAATATTTTTATACCCTTGTCCAAACTAGTTGTAAACTTCTATAGACCAGGAGATTCTGAAAGTACACATACAGTGGGGTTTCTCACCCTTCACTGTAGATGAAGGAATAAAAGCATACTGTGTTTGTCACATTAACAACCAATATCATGCACCATTCATTGTATACTATTTTTATGAAGCTTAACAGAAAATTTCAAAGGTGAATATGCACATACCTAGTTAAATCTTACCTTTTACATTGGGTAAAAGTTCTCCAAGACTACTACATGGTTCTCCAAGGCTACATGGTACTGTGGTCTTCAATTTTTGCTCCACTGGAGAAAACTTAATTAGTGGTGACAGAGACCGTTTTCTTTCACCAAGGGGTGTGCATACAGATGGCTTTGCATAGTCAATGAGCAAATCATCAGCATCCAAAAGGTGAAGTATATTTCCTTCTGGCATGTTTTTGGCTGTAATACTCACTTCTGGCTGTCTTTCAAGTACTTCAGGATTAGAGAAGTAAGATTCTTCCCTTGTCTTGGAAAGAGATTTCTTTAGAGCCTCGTAACTATGGTGAATAGCCTGAAAATTGAACTCTGATTCTGGAGTAGTGGGTCTTCCTTTCATAACATCATCCGGAAAAATGCCACAGTGCCCAGGGCTGTTTGATTCCAGTTTAAAATTGGTCTCAGAACTACTAGAGCTATTAAGACTTAGGTGACCGACTTCTTCTGGAAGAGTTTCATGTAATATGCCAAAATCCATATCATTGAGACTCTTAGAACTAATTCCGCTTAATACTTGAAAAGAGTCCCATGACACAGTTTTACGCATGGGAGTTTCATCACTAGAAGCTTGTAAGTGGCCTGATGTTTTAATATACTTATCTTTACTTCTATCCATCAGCATACTGATGCTATTATGTACAGAAGAGGAGAATCCCTCTATCGAGCTAGTTTCTGAACGCTTAGTGGGTAAAGTCATACATTCTAAATCTTGCTTACAAACTGTTTTCTTACTTAACAAATCTGACTTATTTTCTGTTGGGGGTTCACCTATATGACTGTTCGCCTCATGTTTCTGAGGCACATCCTCAAGAGAATCCAAAACAACTTTCTCTTCAGGCAAATAAGATGGGTCAAAATCCGAGAAAAAACTGGCCATGCTAAATTCTCTTTGATGGTGCAACACAGGTACAGAGTCTGGCAATACTTCTGCATGGTCAGTATCCATTTGAATTGGTTCTGTATTTCTGATATCTTCCATTTCAATAGCTTTTCTCCATGAGCTCCTAATTTCAGTTACTAATTAAAGAAAATAACTCACAATTTACTAATATTCCCAAAATATAGAAGGAAATTTAACATTTTATCTAATGTGCTGAAAATAAAACTAATGATTCAGTATATGTCCCAAAATACATTGGTTGAGTGGCAACCAATCTTCTTGACAGAACAAACCACAGGACATAACTCCTAACTGATCAAACCCAAAGTAAACATGCAAGAAAAGCTGTTCCTGTTTTCAGGGGATTTTTTGTTTTATCATTTTGAGTGTACTTCTCATTATGCTGCCCAAGTCAGCCTCAAACTTGTGATCCTCCTGCCTCAGTGTCCCAAGGAGCTCAGGTTACAGGTGTTGTGGTTTGTGTCTAGATGTCGCTCCACAGTCTCACATAATCATAGGTAGGGCTTTTTCAGAGGTGGCTAGATTTAGAGTGTGCAATGTGAGATTAAGAGTATGTAATTCTACGTCAGTGTGCTGACTGGCTTGGCATAGTTCTGGATATAAGTGTTACCCACTTTAAAGGCAGAAGACAAGTAGCCTTAATAGAACAAAAAAGAGCCAGAAAGAAGCTGCTATTATCTCTTGGTTGCTTTGCTACCTTGGACCAGCCATGTACTGTTTCTGCTCTGCAATACCTATCTGCCATGCCATTCTGCCCTGGAGCCAGCCAATTATGGACTGAAACCTCTACAAGCTGTGAACCAAAATAAAGCTTTCGTCCTTTAACTCTGAGTGCTGGTGGTATTTTGCCTCAGCAAACAGAAATGTAACCAAAATGACAGATAATTAAGACAAAAGTATAAAAAAGGTAACTAAGTCATGGCACCTAGACAAATGCTATTCCTGAAATGTGCATATACTTTTATATAGTATATATGAACTGCATTATTAGAGATACTTTCCTGCCCATCTAGGCCAGGGCAAACTTTTTCTATAAGCACTTGGGATGCTGAGCCAGGAGGATCATCGAGTTTGAAGCAAGCCTGTGCTACATAGTGAGTTCAGGATCAGCCTCAATTACAGAACAAGACCATGTCTCAAAAAAAAAAAAAAAAAATCTGTAATATCAAATGGTAAGAATTTAGGTCTTGCAGGCCATCCGTTCTACCACAACTGCTCAACTCTGCCACTATAGCATGAAACTAGCTATACAATAAGTCAACAAATAAGCAAGGTCATGTCCAGTGCAATTCTCTGTACAAAAATACATTGCAGATTTGGTTCACAGGCAGGCAATCTAGATTGTGGCTCAGTTAAACCTGAATTAAATCAGCATCAAAACAGAAATTGTACTTAATCATTCAACCAATATAATCTGCATTGGTTACATAATGAAACCAGTATCAGAACTGGATGTCAGAAGGAGTAAAAATCTGTGCAGAAGTTTTGGCTGATGCTTCAGGCTGCTGACTGAAGAGATGGCCTCCATGCTCTCTAAATGTGAGCACAGGTCAGATTTGAGGGCAGACTTCTTAAATATGCTCAAATAAATTACTTTCCAAAAGCCCAAAATCAAACAACAAACCAAACCAAACTGTGTTGTTATAAGAGCTTACACTTCTATATAAGTATACTAAAGCCAAAAAATAGGAGGAAATAATGAGGAAAGACTGCTTTGTGAATGTTCCCACCCTGAATTTGGAAAGACCCCCTTATATCAGAACAAAAACCCATTGCCAATAAACTGAAAAATATAGAAATCAGTTTTAAAATGTTTTCAAAAAATCCACAAGACCATGTATCTACTAACAATAACATCTATCACAGAGAGATCGGAACAGAAAACATTAACTTACTCAAGCTTTCTGGAGTTCGGGGAATCTGTTTCCTTGTTAAGAAGGGGTTAGAAACTATAGAGTCAATTAGTTCCTCTAATTTTACTTCTTTTCCTTCAGAGAGCTGTGGTGAATCAGACAAAACTGCTCTAGCAACCTAAAACAAAAAAGAAAAAAAATCACCAAGCTCACTGGTATAAGGCAACAAAAACTCTGCTAACAATAAGCACTTCACAGCTGGCAGCACTTCTTATCGAATACGGCACAAAAACAGGACAAAAAGAACCTCCCAAGCACTTTGTATATATCATGTAGCTATAGTCCTGCAAAGTGAAATAGAATATAAACATTTTTTATTTTCTTAAGTGGATAACCTATTAAAAAAGATAGAATAAATAAGAGTCTTTATACTTGTAAAGATTTAGGCAGCACTCAGGAGGCTGAAGTAGGAGTATCACTGCAAGTTCAAGACCAGGCTGGGTTACAAAGTGAGCTCAAGACTAGCCTAAACTCCATAGCAAGACACTGTCTCAATGGGCTGGAGATTTAGCTCAGGGGCATAAGCGCCTACCTTGCAAGCAGGCAGCCATAAATTCAATCCCTGGTACCGATAAAAACGAAAAAGACAAAAAAAAAAAGACAAAAATAAAAACATTTAGGACAGTTTGACTGCAAAATGACGTAAGCTATTAACTGCCACCATCTTAGTTTGGCAGTTCTGTATGCACTAAAATGGCTGTTTCAGAACAGGCAGATTCTTACAGTGCATTTGTACAGTAACATCTCTATTAACAGAAAGAATACCTTCTGACCACACACTTCTTTGCTAAATGCCTCATTAGCACATCTAAATGAGTAAGCAAAGAATAAGGATATATTCTAAAACATAGGAAAAATGTACAGTATGAAAATAGCCAGATGTGTGGGCACACACCTGTAATCCCAGCATTGGGAGACTGGGTGAGGAGATCACCAAAAAAGTTTGAAGCCAGCCTGAGCTACACAGTGACTTCAAAGGCAGCATGAACTACAGAGTAAGACCCTGTCTCAAAAAAAGAACAAAACAAAAAAATGAAATAGCACTCTATTAACTAAAATATCAGTAAAACTGGGGGGAGCATATAAATTAAAATCACTGCCCTCTGATATTACTAAAAGCTAATTTCTTAAAAAACATACTGAGATTACCCAAAAAAAGCAGAGGTCTTCTTAGAATTAAAACACTGTATCTTGTTGTCAACATTATTAAAATTAATTTCACTCTATCTTTAAAGTCTCAAAAGATTTTAGGACATTGCTTCTCTATCCCACTCTATTCTACCACTAATTTAAATTCTATTAACCACAAAATGAGACTTCTCATAATTAAGAAAGAAAAAAGAAACGACCGTTCTTATTTTAGTACTCAGTAGCTACAGAGGAACAACTTCAGAGATTTCAAAATATTTAGGGAACATGAAACATGCACCTCCACCCAGAAAGACACATTCAGTTCTCTAATTTGGATAATACTATTTGATCAGGATTGGATAAGGAGGAAATTCAGACACCTAAATTAATATTCTCTAAACCAAATTTTTCTTTTAAGACACTCAGGAATAAAAAGCAACCGATTTATCTTCTGGTTCTTAGCCAAAATGCTAAGCAATGTCATGAGATTTCAGTTTGTGTAAACTGAGTTCTGCAGTATTGAACAAAGTAGTATTCTGTGGCCACTTACCAGTGAAAAGTAGAATAACATTAAGGGACAGATCAAGCTAAGAAGATCAAGTTCATGAAAGCAATGCATTTAAATCCTCTTTGAAATATTTAGGGGAAAAACTTCACTCAGTGATAATATAATATTGTTTATTCTTTATTCTCATATTTGAAAAGAGAAAGCTAAGAAACTGACAAAATATTTTAAAAAGTACACTCGTTGGGTGTGTTTACATAAAAATTTATATAAACGTTAACCATCAATCTATCACACATAAAATACTTTTTTATATTTCCAGATATTTCTAGAATGAAAGTAGGTTCTAAACCATTGTAACTTAACTTAAAAAGTTTATATGAAATTTATTTCTACTTTTTTGGAGGGCCAACTTTGCTGTTGTTTTTATCATCTGTGTCCTCTGACCCTCTCTCCCACAGATTACCTCAGTTTCTCGATAATTTACTGCATTTCACTTCTTACACCAACACCACTGAGAAACAAAATAGTTAAGTATCTTTATTAACTGTCTTTTTCTAACCTCTTCTACCAGATGATCTTGTTCTTTTTGGAATGGATCACTGTTTTTGGCCGGCAGAGGACGCCCACATGTTCTATTCTCTTTGTGTTTTGCAGTATTCAACAATGGAGAGTCTTGTCTGCTAAGTTCTGGTATTTTCTTAGAAATTATTCCATCTTTCTCTTTGGGAGCTCTCATCACTGTATCCTGAAAACAGACATGTAATGTTAAAAGCATAATAATCATGGCTGATTTTGAAGTTTTCTTCAACAATATTATGTGAAATTATATGTTCATTGGCAGAACTAAGTAATTCCAATATTTCTACTTAGCAAAGAAGAATATATAAACAGAAATGACATAAAATATTAGGCAGTGTGAAAATAGAAATAGAATTTCATTAAACAATTACATCAACAAAAACAAATATAATCATTTAGTGTAGTCAAATTGAAAACTTAGAATGTACCTTTTTAGGTAGTGCAACACTGTTTCTCTCTGATGATGAAGCTGATTCCAATAGGAAGGAAGCAGAACTAAAGGGGAAGACAGCAAACCCAAGTTATAACTAGGAAAGAATTCCATTCACTTGATGCATTCTAAATATTCTAAAGAAACTGTCTGCCCCGTATCTGTCCGTGACGATTTCACTCAATTCGTCCCGGTCATCAAAAGGCAATTTATTCTAGGGAAGTGTCATGACAATCAGAGCAGTATTTCAGCTCAATTTGTGTATCTGCCTCCCAATTATAAACATTTTACCTACTTGCTATAGAAATTTTAACTTACTAGTATTCTTAGTTTATTAGTATTTGTTTGTGACATAATGAAAATATTCGCTGTGGCCTACTGGCACACATACATACTGCATCCTGATTCTTTCTTAGTTTCCCTTTCTCTTCCTTCTCTCTATCCCCAGTAATGCTTTTTAAGGGTTAAATGTCTTGAAGAACATTTAAAAGCTGAAGTACAGTTTAAAAACAAATCCAGTGAGCTAGAATTACACTATTACAACATCCTGAGTCTACACCACAGAATTCCACTGTAGCAGAGATTTTAAGATTCTTTTGAGCGCAAGCCTGTAACCCCAGCTAAAAAGGCTGAAGCAAGAGGATCACTGTGAGTGTAAGGCCAGCCTAATCTATAAAATGAGTTCAAGACCAGCCTGACCCTGTCTCAAAAACACCAAAAAAAAAAATTTTTTTTTCATTATTTTAGGACCAAAATCAATTTCTCATATGCTGAACTTTGCACTACAGCAAATAGGTTATATATAAAGTTCCAAGAATATTCAGTTTGTTATCTTGCACAATGTACTGTTCTATGCTTTAGATTCCTTTGCCCCTTCATGTATCTTTTTTCACGGTGATGTTACTAGTTAAAAATCTTAAAAGAAATGATATCTTTAAATAACTTTTATTTTGATCTCAGAAGATCTTTTAAATTCTAAAATAAAAAAACTTTCTTACTCTAGGGGCTGAGGGTTTAGCTCAGCAGGATAAGTACCTGCCTGGCAAGCGCAAGGTCATGAGTTCAATTTGCGTTATCAAAAAAAAAAAAAAAAAAACTTTCTTACTCTAGCAAATTTAAAAACAAAAAAATTACCACAGAAACTACAATTAACAGCAAATATGTTGCTCCTTCACTTTCTTTTCATAGCCAGAAATGCAAAATTAACAGCTTTACAAATGTCTTGTTAAATAAAACATATACATTGTCAAGCTTTTCCAAACACGCACTCTTTAAGAATCTTCACCTATCCTCAAAACATAATTTGAAACCACTGTAATTGCTCAAGCTTCAATTTAGCAGGATATAGCCCAGATATCCAAGGCAAATTACTGTGTTTTCCAAAAACTTTACAATTTACAAAAACTCCTCAGAAAAAGAGCCAAAACCTATGAACTAATGTCACTAAGGCCATGACTAAAGCTAGGAAGACCAATATGCACTACACAGTGAGATCCCATTTCAAAAAAAACAAACAAAAAAGCAATGCAATCTAGAGAGACCAGTTATATTTTGGTACTGGTGCAAGACAGCTACATGAGAAAGGGATAATAACACATCTGCTCTAAAAACTACTCTTGCCATGTTTTGCTTTTTTGTTTGATTGCTGTACTGCGGACTGAACCCAGAACCTTCACACTGCGCAATTACCCCACCCCCAATGCCACTCCATTTTTTTTTTTTTTTTTTTTTTTTGGAGACAGGGTCCAAGTCACTAAATTGGCCAGGCTAAGCACCACTGTGATACTGCTGTCCCAGCCTCTGAGAAGTACTTGGATTGCTGGTATGCACTCTCTTGCCCAGCTTTGCCATGGTTTTTAACTTAATACTGATCATATCTGCTGAAATGCAAAATAAGATCTTTTATTTCATTAAGTGTATCCTACCCACATTACAGATAAAACATTTAATTATAAATAATAACAGTGAGGACCTGTATCTCTGCAACAGTAAAACTTCTGCAAGACAGTAAGTCAACTTCATAGATCTTCTGTTCTTCATCTGTTTAGCAATAATGATATTTCATGTGCCACTAATTATTCACCCTACTACCAAAAGCATTCCCCTCCCTGCAATATCCCAAGCCTTTGTACGCAGGTGTGCACGCATGTGCAGTGTTTCAGATGGAAGCCACAGCCTCCTGGCCACACTCACTCTAAGCCTCAGCTGCAACCCCAAATCCGTAATATTTTAAAAATATCAAAAGATATTGACAGTTATCAAAGAATGTTTAAATGTGGTTTTAAGCATGCTATAAGAACTCTGATATGAGGGTTAAAGTGAAAAAGCCAGTAACTTTACTCTTCCTTCAATTAAATGTCTCCCAAGAGTTCATTACTTTCCTTCAGGTATTCAAAAACTCAACAGCAAATCCAGATAAAAGAATGAAAGCATATTCCTCCACAACTAGTCCTGAACTTCCGTGAGCCAGAAAATGAGTGGCAGAGACAACTGCCAATGGCTCAATTTCATATAACAGTTTTGATTCTGGTTATAGCAGTTCAATATACCAAGAGCATATAAAATGAATAGTGATTTTAGGATTTTGTTTTATGATTTTCCTAAGTATTTTACTCTCATATTCAGCCTTATCTACTTGGGAAAACTGGACTGAATGACACCTATGTAAATCAAAAGGCAATCATAACAAAACAATCTATTCACTGTGTCTGTGTTTAATTGCTATGTTATGATGTTTAATGTCCATAAAGAACAAATATATTACCCAAGTGGATTACATACATTTAATTTAGAGATTTTTTTTTTTTTTTGCTTCTATAACTTGGCATTAGTATAGGGCTGGGGATGGATATAGCTCAGCCATGCAGCACCTGCCTGGCAAGGGCAAGGGTCCTGAATTCAATTCCTGTTACAAAAAAAAGGCAGTAAAGAAAACAGAAGTTCGGGGCTGGAGATTTAGCTCAGTGGCATAAGTGCCTGCCTTGCAAGCAGACAGTCGTGAGTTCGATCCCTGGTACCGAAAAAAACGAAAAAGACAAAAAAAAAAAAAAAGAAAGAAAAAAGAAAACAGAAGTTGTACTGTGAAAGAAGCGTAGCTTCAGGTTTTTCATGTTAAACTCTGGAGTTAAATCTTCTAATTTTTTAAAGCAAGGAATTCTTTATCAAACAGCTTGTCAAAAACTTCAACATATAATAGAAATAAAAGGACAAGTTGCTCAGACTGAAATGGGAAAGCATAGGATCAACCAAAGGCTAAATTAGAGTCAGCCACAGCACCAGAGGGCAAAGAATATAACCTGAAAACTATCAGACTAGTTGATCTCAAAGACTCCCAAACTCTTTTTATTCAGATACTCCCCATGAAACCCAGTGTTTCAATAAATAAAAAGGAAAAATGTTTGCCTATCTTTTCTGAAAATCTAAGTGTGAAACAAAAAAATATTGTCTTTTTAAAGAGGGGAAATTAAGTACTATTCCACAATAAAGATTAGAAACTGGCTTAAAAGTGGTATAAAATTAATTCAAAATGAACAACAAATATATTTTACCTTTTGGCTATGTCACACACAGCTCCCAGGGTATCAATGTCTCTTCCGCAATCATTTTCTTGTTTATGTTGCTTAGGTATTTCTAAAGAAGCATAAAAATTACTTTATCTTTAATTATGCTTATAATTATCTCTTGAAATTGTAGCACATTTTTGGGGGCAGTGTTAGTGTTCAAACCTAGGGCTTTGTACATGCTATCACTGAGCTACACCCAAGACCCAGAAAAACTTCTCAGAAGACGAACTACAACAGAACCAGAAAGAGTGTTCCAAGCCTGTAATCCAGCTACTCAGGTGCCTGAGGCAGGAAGATTATGGGTTCAAGGCAAGCCTAGTGAGGCCGTGTGTCATAATAAACATTTTTTAAAGGAGTGGGAATGTAACTCAGTGCTGCAGTGCTTCCTTAACACCACACACACATACACACACACGCACACAGGTAATTATCCAAATGTTAAGGTAAAGTGATAAGAAAGTGATACAAAATATAAAAAGACTAATATATGTGCAAGGCCTTGAGTTTAATACCCACCACCACAAAAGAAAAAAAAAAAAGAAATACTTAAAAGACTTGTAACTCACTAAACTTCCATGGTCATTCTCCAATGTCATATAATTTCATGTTTAAGTACACAGATCATATACAATTACCACATAAGCCAGAAAGGCCAAAAAGTTATAGTACTTAGCGTATGTCTGGACAGCTTTGATGACAACAATTAACCTATATATATTTTTCATCATCCTATCATTGAACAATTATGTGCTACCACTATAACAACAATGGGAAGCACTCTGCTTCCAAAGAGTCGACCTAGACAGTGATTGTTATGTTATACTGCTAGAGTATTATGACAAAAGTAAATACTAAATGCAAGGAAGAAGAGCTACCTGGCCCAAACTGGGGAGTGGGAAAAAAGCGTAAAAGTATTAAGACAATAAGGTGCACATTTTGTACATGGAGCGTTGGGTAAGAGATATACACCTTGCAGCATGGCAGGAAGAGACTGGCAAAGAAATCCATGGCTATGTTAAAGAAGATGTGATTCCAGGGACTCCTCTTCTTTTACCATTTAGCTTCTGAAAGGCCTTATTTGTCATATGTGTAGTGTGCAAAGTACAGTACTGCCTTAATTCATGACTTTAATTCTTTCCACAATTCTGACTGCAGAATTCACTCCATAATTCTGGTTCCATAGTACATAAATGTTTGCAATTCAGCTGCAACCAGAATCAGGGAAAGAATTAAGTCTGTGAAGAAAGGTACCATTGTATCACAATGTAAGAAGCCAATGTAAGGTTTTCTTCTTAATCCCTATCCTAACAATATGCCATCTCACAGCATTTTCAACAACTTCTGTATCTCCTGATTATACTGGGATTTACTAGTATTTATAAAACGTATGAAAAAGACTTGGAGATATATCTTAGCGGTAGAGCACTTGACTAGACTACTGGGTTCAAACCCCACCACCACAAAAAAAAAGGAAAGAAAAGAGAAAACACAAAACCAGTAGAAAATCGTAAACAAAAAGTACTACACTCAACAACTACCACATGTTGTTGGTGGGCAGACACAGTGGAAAACGATTGTTCTGGTATGAAAACAATGTGTAAGTTGGGATGTGAAGCCGAGGCGGTAGTGCATACTGCCATCATAGCACTCCGGAAGGCTAAGGCATAGGAGTGCAAAGCTGACCCCAGCCTGGGCAATGTACTGATTTGGTGAGCCCCTGTTTCGGGAACTTTTTTAAAAGGGCTGAAGAGAAGTCAGGCATGTTAGCACATGCCTGTATTCCCAGCACTTGGGAGGCTAAGGTAGGAGGACTGCCACAAGTTGGAGGTCAGCCTGGGCTACAAAGTAATTTCAAGGCCAGCCTGAATTACACAGTGAGACCCTGTCAACAAAAATAAGATAAAAGGCTGAGGACAAACCTAAGTACAGAGCCTCTGGGTTCATTCCTTGGTAGTGAAAAAAAAATGCAAACATATTTTTTTTAACTTTATGGAAAGCTATTAATGTGTTTTGTACCAGAAAATGAAAAAGAATGTTTATATTACAGAAAGATTACAGAAAGTCACAAAAAACAATTGCAGGTAAGAAATGAGAACTAAACTACAGCACCCAAGGTAAGAAAACAGAAAGTTAGACAAAACAAGGCATATGAAAGATAAAAATAAAGCTAAACTCACAACAGAGCAAACCCAACAGAAACAGACACTAACTCATATAAATACACTAGAACCACTAAATAAAATGTAAGAAAAAGGAATGCCCAAAGAACAAACAAATACCATTATAAGCCAGAATCAAAGATAGAAAACTTTATCAGAATGATAAGCTCAAACTGAAAAGTGGGGGTCTGATAAAACAGAAGGCTCCAGGGACTGCATTCACTAAGTAGCCCAGCCTGGCCTCGAACTTGCAGCCATTCTCCTGCTCAGCCTCCCAAGTGCTGCGACTACAGGCATGAGCCACCATGCCTGGTTTGCCTCAGCCTTCTCAGTAACTGAGCTCCAGGGGTGCATCACCACCATGCCTGGGGTTTTTTTGTTTGTTTTGGGGTTGGGTTTTTTTCTTTTTCGTGCACGTCATCACAGTTTTAAACATTTCCGGGGCCTGGTAGTGCATGCCTGTAATGCCAGCAGTGGGAGGCTAAGGCAGGAGGATTACCACTAGTCTGACATTAGCCTGAGACACATAATAAATTCAAAGCCAGCTTGAACTACATAGTGAGACCCAATCTCAGAAAACTAATCAAACAAAAAATGGTGACTCTTATGCTATAGCCAACTTAACACAATAAAAACTGGGGAGAAAAAAACAAAAATAAAAATAACTATTATAACAATGAGAAATAATGACAAAAGAAGGTTGAAAAAAGAAAAAGAAAAATAACCAACCTGGAAGTGAAGCAGGATACTGAAAAAGAACACTCTTTGTATATACTTCCTCCGAGACAGGATCAAATGAGAGGGGACCCATAGGTGGTAAAAGATCCACTGCCTTAAAAACACAGATTTCACAATTTAAGTAAATAGTTACTATAATAACATTAACTCATAAATGCTAAATTAACTCATAAATGGTTTTGCAAATTCTCTCCTAACAATTACCAAGCACACATCCTGTAACTATTTTTAAAAACCAAAGAGTACAATATTAAAACAAGGGTTTATTCTATCCAACTATGTGTTAAATTTTAGTTTCTCACATGGAGTGGTGGCACATGCCTGAAATCTTAACACTCTGGAGGCTGAGGCAGGAGGATCATTAAATTCACGAAGGCCAGCCGGAGCTACACAGCAGGTTTAAGGCTGACCTGGACTATACAGCAACTAAAAACAAAACAAACCACCCAAAAAACACTAAAATCTTTTCAATAAAACCCTTTGGCAGGGGAGAGGGGACACCACTTTGAATTTAAATTAACTATACCCTACTGCTAAACTTGATTGGCTTCACAGATACACTAAATGGCAACAGCAACTCATGAAAATTCTATTATATATTTAGAAAAATTACAAAACCGAAACATTTGAATCATGGTAGAAATGCCAATAGGGCTGGGGATAGAGCTCTACAGCACCTGCCTGACAAATGTGAGGTTCTGAATTCAATTCCCATTACAAAAAAAAAAAAAAAAAACCATGAGGTGAGAAACATGTATACAAATAGTACTCCTAGGTCACTGATTACATGGTAAGTGAAAAAACTGACAAAATTAAACTACTCTCCAAACGGCAAGTCAACATTACTTACTGGAGACCGACCAGTAAATAGACTGAAAGGAGACACACCAAGAAATCCCTTCCATTTCTTATCCCATTCTTCTTGCTTTTCAACAATAGACTGTCTTATAGTAGTAAGATTTTCTTTTATTTTACACCTATGATAGCATAAAAACACTTTACTCAAAACACAAATACACAAAAAATATAGAGTAAAATTTAAGAAGATAACAGTAGTAAGAAAGGGAAGAAAGTATCAAGTGAAAGCTCAACCAATAATGCACATTATACATTGAATAAACTCACAAGCAAATATTCAGAACTTAAAATAGACTTTTCTTCTTTTAAAACCAGAAAGCTATCATATATTTACCATATCATGTATTTTTAAAATACAATCTTTCCCCTGGTTGTAAACATCAGTTAGAACTCTACTCCCACTATCTGTCCATGCCTAAAAGAAGCCCTTTAACTCTCACTCTTTCTGCTAAAATTAAAAAAAAAAAAAAAAACATTTCTGAGGCTCGCTTTTATTATTAAATATAACAAAAGAAAAGGTAGAAAAAAGTTAACATTATTTCACAGCTTGGCAAGTGGTTTATGCTTGTAATTCCAACTATTTGGAGGTCTAAGGCAAAAGGATCACAAGTTCATGTTAGCTTGGCCAACTTAGCAAATCCTGTCTCAAAATAAATAAATGGGAGGGAAGTAAAAATTAAAATGTGTTATATACATGTAACAACTCCCCACAATGAATGTCATCATTATATACTACAAACATATACTATTAAAAATAAAAATAAAAAAGGCTGGGGATGTAGCGCAATGCAAATGCCCTGAGTTCAAACTCCTGTACTACCAGAATATTAAAAAAATATAAAAATAAAGAAATATCACTCAAAACAAATAACTTATTCCAAGTAAACAGAAAACAGTATTATCTTTCTTTTCTACCTCATGTCTCTGTGGGAGTTGATCACATAAGGTTTTGAGTACTAGTAAAATTTTCACACTTGTTTGACAAAGCAAAAGACTTGTAAACTATACAACCGTTTTACTGAAAAAAACCAACCTTCTCCTCCCACAGTAAAATAATAGAAGATCTATCTAGAATACCTCATATGCTTCAGATCTGATAATCTCTCCTTCTGAAATTTGGTCTCTTTTTCAAGGTAGTGATGATCTATTGTGAATCTTGCTTGGTCAGACTGACCACGTTCATATTTCATTATTTTCAGGACTTCATTTAACAACTGAATAACTGTTAAAATGTTCAATTTTCCAGCCTCATAAACATTTCCTATGTGCAGCTAAAGATTCACAGGGAGGGAAAAAATAGCAAGCTATAGAATCAGATAATAAACTGTTACAAAAACAAAAAAGATTTAAGCATTTTACTATTATATGCAAATTCCACCTTAAAGAAGAGAGAAAAAAATAAATTATCACCCAAACATAAAGCTATATAAATAATTTCAATTTAGTAAAAACTATTGTAGAAGAATTAACACATCACAGTACATTTTTATATCATACAGAGGTTGAAGACTATAGAAAAGAAAAATAGTTTGAGAAAAACAATACATAAAAGTAATTACATGGAGCTTTCACAATGTTTCTTTACCATCAAACATAAAAAATATAGATTTAAGAGAAATAGCTTAGGAAAAACAGATTTGGGGAAAAGGTCATAAATTCATCTTTTTAAAACACTGTATTTTCAGTGACCTCTTAAAACTACATCCAGGGCCAGGAATTTAGCTTAGCGGCATAAGCCCCTGCTTGGCAAGCATGAGTTCATGAGTTCGATCCCAGGTACCAAAAGCAAAACAAAAGAAAAAAAACTACACTCAAACTAGGGACAGGTTTATTTTGCCTGCATGGTTCCAATGTTTTAAAATCACTTGAATTACTACCAATACTTTTTAACTCATAAATTTCATATTAAAAAATATTAGACATTCATTGCTCATTTAATTAGTCATATTTCTACAACTTGTTAATTGAACTAGCCACAAAGTAAGGAACTATCATATTATATTAAAATATTCAGAACATGAAAAAAATTTTTTAATAAAATTCTGTTCTACTTCATTTCTGTAAAATTTGAAATAAAACTCAAAAACATGAAAAAAAATATTTAGAACAAAGAAATGGTCAAAGAAAACTCCACCTTGATGACTTTTTTTTTTTTGATGACTGTTTTTATTTGCATTATTGTTATATCCAGTACTGTAATGTAGAATATAAAACTGTACTGTGCTGTACAGTACAACCAGCAAGAATTTCATTACTATGTAAACATGGTACCCTGCACAAAAAAAAGATGACATTGAGGCTATACAAAGATGTACAGAAGTGTACCAAAAAAAAAAAAGATGGGTCATAAGTTTGACCAGTGAATTAAGTTGGAACTGTTGTTAAACAGGGAGGTCATCAAACCAAAACTAACTATACAGTAATTTTCTCTGAAGACCTTATCACTTTGTACCTTCTCCCTATTGTTACATACAATCATGTGTTTCCAATTACCTGCCATATCCTGTAGGCATCTAAACACAGCTTCATTTTCATGAACTCTGAACTTGATGTGTTCATCAGTATTATGATTAATGTGAAAGTGCTTCAGAGTCACAATGTTTTATCTTTGCAATAGCTATGCTATAATTAATCCCATGTATATAGTAGATGCTAACTGTGCTTAATTAAAGAGGAAAAAAGTTATCCAGGCGAAAATGTCTCACAGGGATATAGAAATAAGTAAATGAAATTTGGGTTGAACGGGAAAGACTGGTAATATTATTGTAGAGGAAGCACTAAAGTCATGGAATTGGTAAAAGAAAAAAAATACATAATCAGGCACCGTGGCACACATCTATAATCCTACACTCTGGAAGGCTGTGGCAGAAGGATCCCAAGTTTGGACAAATATGAACAGCTCAGCAAGACCCAGTATCCAAACTAAATAAACAACAAACAAACAGGGCTGGGGATATAGCTCAGTGTGCAGGCCCTGGGTTCAATCCCCAGTACCAAAAAAAATTAATTAATTAGTTAATTTGCAATGAGGAAAAGAAAACTGACCATTAAAGGAATCATCAGAAAGAAAATGAAATTAGTAGTCTGAAAAAACACAGGAAAAGACACATAAACATCACAAAGCTAAAATAAAAGTAAATACCTTACTACCTTACCAGAATAAAAAAAAAAAGTAAAAGATGTAAAGTTTTTAAAAGGACATTTTACATTAGGTCATTTTTGTTCTCTTCCAACCTAGGAATTTTATATTCTCTATACAGTATGATATAGGACCATACAAGGTAGGGACAAATAATAAAAGTTGATGATGGATATAAATATATACTCCTTTAATCTTTTATAAAGATTTTACTAGCTACATAAAAAAATTTTAACGCAGTAGAAAAATATTTTAAGAAAAAAATGTATAATATAAAAAATAGTTTTTGCAAAAGTTTCCTTAGTATCAAATACTTACCTGCCCCATTTGTTTCTCAATTTTGTCAAGTAAGAGACTTGGAATATTAATAACAACATTACTTCCATCTAAATCATATTGGTTAACAAGACTAAGGACTGAATTAACAACTTCTCTTTCTTTTTCCAAAACCATGAGCGTTTCATTTACTAAGGTCCACAAAGATCGAACCTTTGAAAACAAAAAACAAAACATAATAGTCCATTCATAATCTATAACTACATTAAAGAAATACAATCATAAATATTTTCTCAGCCTTAGGAGTAAATGAAATATCTTAGGATGATAATAAAATTAAATAACTATAGTTTTAAAACATTGATATTACTTCCAAAGGGGCTTGAAAACTAAGACATTTCTCAAGAAACTCTAGCTCACTAAAATTTTCAAACAATTCTAAGAAATCTTTATATTATCAAGATACAATTTGCAATTTCTATACTTTGACGTGCACCCAATCTAATGAAGATTTTTCAGGAAAAACTAATTTAAAAAATTGTCAAGAAGAAAACTACTACACATTAAATTTTAAATCACTCAAGTATAGAACAGTGCGCATGTAAACAAATAAGATTCTTTAAGGGTAAAAGGTCATACACATATATCATCCCTACACTCTGGGAGGCTGAGATATGAGGACTACAAATTCAATTCTATCCTAGGCAACTTTTCAATTTGGCAAGACCCTGTCTCAAAATCAAAGACCTGGGGAGGTGGCTAGTGCGAAGGTTTTAGGATCAATCCCCAGTAATGCCCCCTCCAAAATTCTTAGGCATAAAGAAATACATATTTACTAAAATTCATGTACAAGAATATTCCAGAATGCCAGCATGGTGGCACATGTCTGTAATACCAACACTTGGAAGGCTGAAAAAGGAAGATCACCAAGTTTGAGGTAAACCTGGGCTACATGGTAAGCTCAAGACCACCCTGAATTACATAGCAAGACCTTGCCTCCAAAAAAAAAAAAAAAAAAAATTCACAGAAGAAAGTTGACCAAAGTTCCAATCAGACTGGAGGAATACATCTGTCAATGATTTGTTGTGCTGTATACTGGCCAACTATTAATATACATATTGCATATTTTACCACTGTACAAATAGAACTTTAACATTCTCATCACGAAATATAATAAATTAGTGATTTATGGATATGTTAATTAGCCAACTGAATCATTCTATAAAGCATGTAGAGACCAAGTTTTATTATATCCCACAAATACAAATATTACTTATCAATTAAAACTAAGACCAGGGATGGTAGCACACACCTGTAATCCCAGAAATCTGGGATACTGCCGCAGGATGGCCAAGTCCAAGTCCTGAGCAAACTAGTGACTTGGTGAGATTTTATCTCAAAATAAAAAAGGGGGGTTGGGGGGCTGAGCGTGTACTTGGTGCAAAGGTCCTGGATTCAATTTCCAGTGAATTAAACACACACAGAAAAAAGAAAAAGGGTATACTTTTCTACATTTGTAAAGAGAACACTGCACAGCAATGAAAATGAACATACTAACACTATACATGACTGGAGCCAAGGATGTAACTCAATGGCACAGCACCTGCCTGGCAAGCACAAGGTCCTGAGTTCAATTCCCAGTACCAAAAAAAGAAAACAATTCCACATGATTACAAGGATAAGTAATACCAATACTACTGGGTCATAGAAGTCACACAAAGAAGACATTCTATTAGCTTCCATTTATATAAAGCTCAAAAACAAACAAAACTAATCTTTAGTATATGTGAGCTTAGCGCTTACCCTTCGGGGAAAGTAGCCATGAATGACACAGTATGACAAGGACTCTGAGGTACTGGCAATGTTCTATTTCTGAAACTGGATACTAGTATAGATGGATATATTCACCTTTGTGAAAATCTATCAGGATATATGTTTATGATTTGCACACTTTTTGTATGTGTGTTATATTTCAAAAGAATTTAGGGCTGGAGATTTAGCTCAGTGGCATTAAGTGCCTGCCTCCCAAGCATGAGACTGTGAGTTCGATCTCTGGTACCAAAACAAAAAAAAAAGAATTTATAGATGTGGGAAGATGATAAAATATAATTATTCCTATGGGTCTTATGTCTTCCGATGACATAAATAAGAAACTGAACATCTCTAATTAAAGTGTTACATAGCTAGTCATCCTGTTGTTCACCTATAAACCCCAGCTCTCTGGGAAGCTAAGGCAAAAGGACAAGCTCAAGGTCAGCCTGGAGTACTTAGCAGCTTAGTGAGACCGTATCTGAAAATAAAAATAAGTAAATAAATAAAGGCTGGAGATACAGCTCAACACAAAAGCTCTAAATTCAATCCCCAGTACTGCAAAATAAATAAATCAGTCAATCAAAATAAAACTTAAAAATGCTGAGATGTAACTCAATCTGAAGGCCCTGGGTTTAATCCCCAGTACCGCAAAAAAAAAAAAAAAAAGACTGGCAGCAGGGCATGGTGGCACATGCCTGTAACTCCAGCACTTGGGAGGCGTAAGCAGAAATAGCACAACTTTGAGACTAGCCAGGCTACATAGCAAGACCCTGCCTCACAAAACCAAAATTAAAAATAAAAAGATATAGGGGGCTGGGGATTTAGCTTAGTGGCTTAAGCGCCTGCCTGGCAAGCATGAGGTCATAGATTGGATCCCCGGCACCAAAAAAAAAAGAATTGCTTGAAAAATAAAAAGATAAAGAATAAGGTGCTGCACAGCAAGGTAAAGTCTTTCATAAAAGACTCAGGTGGTAGGCTGGTGGTCTCACAGGACGCTGTTTCCCATCTAGAATCTGGTGCCCAAATTTTTCAAGTCTTGAATTTTGTCTTGTCAATGGCTCAAAGAGAAATGGACTCTGGGAAAATGAACACTAACCACATTCAGGAAACAATTGGTTTTGTGCCAACCTATGAGATTACAATCAAAGATACTGTATTCATTAATAGGAATGTTCCTATTCACTGAAGTAAAAGTTCCACAGAAGAGGTGATTTTGCCTGTCTTTTTCACGGCTGTATCCTAATATCCAAAAGATACCTGGCACACTGCAGTTGGCCAGTAAACACTCAACAGTGAATACTTGGGCTGGGGATTTAGCTCAGCGCATAAGCGCCTGCCTTGCAAGCAGGCAGTCGTGAGTTCGATCGCCAGTACCGATAAAAAGGAAAAAGACAAAAAAAACAGTGAATACTTTCTCAAACAGCACTCACCTTTTCCAGTGATAAAGTGCCCAGGAAGTCAAATTAATACCTAAAAGTTTGGACACTCTTAAACAAATGAAGTAATATAAAGCATAAGCTCGTTTATTCCATTATATCCAAGGGTTTTGGAGGCACCTACTAGTATCTTTTGATATAATACCTACAACAAGTGAATTTTTAAAAACATTTTAAAAGGCAAGAGAATTTTTTAAGTCCAATTGCTAGACACAGTTAGCATATACCAATAGTCCAAGCTACTTAGGAGGATGAGATTCGAGGATTGCTCGACCTCAACAGTTCAGGACCACCCTGAGCAACACAGCAAGACCCTATTTCTACACAAAAAAGTAAAATAAATGTTAAGTTCAACTGATTAAGTAAAACTGCATATCACAAAGTAAGAAAAATTAAATATGACCCATCAAAATTATCTTACCTTTTCAATTTTCTCTTTTAGAATACTTTGGTCATCGGAGGGTTCCATTCTAGTAAAAATTAAATAATCTAATTAGTCAAAAGTAAATCAAATAGTAATTTAATATACAAAAAGCTAACTGGTCTGCAAACTCACTCACTAATAGCCATGCCAATTAAAAAACAGTAAGATTCAAGCTCAAAGCAACAATAATTCTGCAGAAGGAGAACTGGACTAGGAGCAGAACTATGCTTTAGTCCTGCCATCACCTCGCTATTTATTTATATATATTTCAGTTAATGTTTCTGGGCCTCAGTTTCCTCTCCTGCAAGAGCTAAACTAGAATCTAAAACAAATTCCAGCTGTAAAAGTCACTTACTTTTTTATTTGGTTTTGCAATCCTATGTATTCAGATCTCAAATTCCGAAGTTGCTTAACTGATAATCTGCAAGAAAATATGTAAACAACAGCTAGAATTCCATCACAATGAACCACAACACCCATTGATGCTCTTCCTTTACATTCACACGCTCAACCCTTACGGGGCAGATGTGGTCACGCAGACCTCTAAGGCCAGCACTATCTAGAGGCTGAGACTGGAGAATTGGCAGTTCAAGCCCAGCCTGGGCAATTCAGCAACCTCTCAAATCTTTCAAAATGTCTCAAATCTTCACAAAACTTTTAAGGACTGGGATATAGCTTGGTGCAAAGGTCTTGGATTCAATCCTCAGAACCACAAAAAAATATCAAAATGAGAAAAATTTCAGTTTCGCAATTTTGTTATTGCAGGTTTTTTTTTTTTATTATTATTATTTGTTTTTGAAACTGGGACTTTCTACCAGTCCAGTTTGGCCTCAAATTCATAATCTTCCTACCTCTCAGCCTTAGGAATGCTGGGATTATAGGCATGCCCACCACGCCCAACAACACTTCAATTTTAAGGTTATTTCAAAGGATCCTGTATGTTTAATAACAGATGACAAATTACTAAAAGTTTTCCAACAGTTACAAAAAGTTAGATATTTCTTGAGAATATGAAACTTGCCCATCTTATTTAATGCTGTGGCACCAATACATGGCAAACAAAAGGTACTCCCAAAAAGTACCTGTTGAGCCAGGACTAGTGGCTCACGCTTATAACCCCAGCACTTAGGAGGCCGGGCAGGAGGAATGCCATTTAGTTCAAGGCCAGCCCAGGCTACACAACAAGATCCTGTCTCAAAACTAAAACATAAAATAAAAAATAAAGCAAAAATGATAGACAGTATCTTAAAGTAGTCATAGATTACTTCTACTGAAGTTACAATGATGACATCTGTTCAGAAAGAAAGGAAATATTTCATAACCATCAAAATACTACTTACTGTGCATTTTCATGATATTTCCGGATAACACAATCTTCTCTCTGTAAAATCTGTAAAAATCTATTACGAGCTATAAGACATCTGGCAAGGCACTTATGCATATCTTGGGTCTTTACATTACATGTTTCTGAAAAATGTAGAGAAGAATCTGCATGGAAGACAAGATTATCGAAAACAGGTTTCTCAGTTAAGTGTCATATATGTTTAATGGGCCAGAGGTTTAGCTTAGTGACATAAGCACCTTCCTGGAAAGTATGAGGTTGTGAGTTTGATCCTCAGTACAAAAAAAAAAAAAAATGTTTAATGTTAACCAGGTGCAGTGATACATGCTCTAGGTTCAACACTCAGAAGGCTGAGGCAGGAAGATTGCTTAAGCCAGCTTTCAAAGCCAGCCTGGGATACAAACCCTTACCTTCAAAAAAACCTAACAAAAAACTGAACTTTAATAACTCCTTAATGGTTGATACATTGTGTCAACTTAACTTGAGTTTAGAAATTTAACTAAGGGACCCAGGAGGGAGCTAGGATCCTTACTTTGTAAATATCCTCAACCTGTGCAAGCTAGTTTGAGTGCTACACTGACCTTGGGGAGGGGGTGGCCTGCTTATTATATAAGGGAGGAGAAAAGGACTGTTTTCCCCTTTTGGTTCTGGCTGCTTCTACTGGCTACTGCCTTGAAATGTTGCCCCAGTGCTATGGCTGCCTTGGAGCCAGCTGATTACAGACTGAAACCTCCACAAATAGTGAGCTAAATAAACCTTTCCTTCATTTTGGGTTCAGGTATTTTATGCCAGCAAAGAAAGAAAAGTAACCAAGACAACCACATACAAAAAAAAGACAAAACCAATGTTAATGCTAGTGAAATCAAGATGGCTTTAAAATAGGCAACTAAAACAGCTATCTAAAGTTGACTTCTTTTTTTTTTTTTTTTTTTTTTTTTTTTTTTTTGTCTTTTTCCTTTTTACCGGTACCAGGGATCGAACTCACGATTGCCTGCTTGCAAGGCAGGCGCTTATGCCGCTGAGCTAAATCCCCAGCCCCTAGTTGAGTTCTTTCACATCATTAAACTTTGAGCTGGGCAGTGGCACATGCTTGCAATCCCTACTATCTGAGAAGCTGAGGTAGAAAGATCCCAAGTTTGAAACCAATCTAGATGATTCAGAAAGACCCTGTCTTGCCAGGTATGGTGGCTCAGGAGGCTGAGGCAGGAGGACTGCTGCAAGTTCAAGTCAGCCTGGACTACACAGTGAGTTCAATGCTAGCCTGAACCACACAATGAGACACTGTCTCAAAAACACCCTATCTCAAAATAACATGAAAAAGGGCCAAGTGTTGGGGCTGGAGGTTTAGCTCAGCGGCATAAGTGCCTGACTTGCAAGCAGGCAGTCGTGAGTTCGATCCCTGGTACCGGTAAAAAGGAAAAAGACAAAAAAAAAAAAAAAAAAAAAAAAAAGGGCCAAGTGTTTAGCTCAGTGGCCTAAGTGCCTGCTTGGCAAACTCGAAGTCTAGAGTTCGATCCCCAGTACCAAAAAGAAAAAACATGAAGAAAATGGCTGGGGAGAAAGCTCAGTGGAAGAGTACCTGGCTCAGGGTTTGACACCCTGCATTTAGTCTCCAACATAACACAGAGAAAAAGATGAAATCAAATCATCTTCATTATACATCAGCTTAACATTTCCTCCTAGTAAGTCCAACAGGGTAAAACAACCAAATAAAGCCATTCTCTATTTTTTCAAGTAATTCTTGCCTATATTACTAGAAGCCAAACTACACCTTGAGAACAATCCATACAAATGTTTCACAGTCAAGCTTTTTATCTGTAGTAAACGTTTCTTTAACACTGCTCCATACAATAAAGGTATGGATATTCTAAAAAGCAAGAACTCTACACTGCACTTAACATTGTTTATCCACATCCTGACATATGAAAAGAAACCACTGCTAAATATGCAACAGGTAATAAGTTCACTAAGTTAATAGTTCTCTAGAGACTGAACATGTTGACTTGAATTGCTTTAAATCAGAAATAGGGCTGGGCCTCATGGAACAAGCCTGTAATGACAGCACAGAGGAGACTAAGATAGGAGGATCACCATGAGTTCAAGGCCAGGCTGGGCTACACAGTGAGTTCAAAGCTGTGAACTACAAAGTGAGACCCTGCCCCAGCCAAAAAAAATCAAAATTAGGACAATCCATGCTGAGAAGTCTTACAATAAACCTCTGCTAAATCTACACACATATAATTCACATAAAATAGTTCTGGTTACATGTAATTGCAGATCATTTATTAATTTTTTAAACTACAAAAATGTTTGTTACATTAAAGTGAAAATGCAGAAATATATTTAAAGAAAAGTCACATAATGTTTTCAAAAATCATGCATAAGGCTGAGGATATAGCTCAGTAGCAATATCTACCTGGTAAGTGCAAGATCCTAAGTTTGATTCCCAGAACAAAAAAAAGAAATCAGGCATAGAAGATAAACTGCAAAAAAATGTTTGTATGTCACATTACAGAAAAAGGGTAAAAATTAACTACTTTCATATAAGAAAAAGAGAGTAATTTAAAAGAAAAACGGAAAAAGGACACAGGCATAGCATACAGAAGAGTACAAATTGCTCTCAAACATAAAGCAATGTCCAACTTTATCAATAATAAAAGGCATACCAACTAAAACAGTACCCAGAAAAAGGTCCACAATGCTTTCTGAAAAAATAAACTAAATGCAATACAGAACATGGAACAGAAAAACAGTCAACTGGAAAAACAAATCGGGCATAGCAGGACACATCTATAATCTCAGTATTCTCCCAGTCCTCAGGAGACGAGGCAGAAGGATCCCTACAGCTTCAAGGCCAGTCTGGGCCAAACAGTGAGTTCAAGGCCCAGACAGCGCTACATTGCAAAACCCTCTCTCAAAAAAAAAGAAGGTGAGTTAATGGTGAATTATAAAATATAAATTGCTTTGTGTTAATGAATATTCCATGGTACGTAAGGTGTAAATATTAGGAGAACCAAGTTAAAGCATATGAGAGACCTCTATACTATCTTCAACTTTCTATACATCTAAAATTAGTTGTAAAGTATTTTTTATAAAATGCAAAACATTTTCTATAAAATGCAAAGTGTTTTTTATTTGTTTGACACAAGGTCTCACTATCCAGGCTGGCCTCCAACTCACAGAGATCCTCCTGCCTCAGCCTCCCAAGTGCTGGAATTATAGGCATGTTACCACACCTGGCTCCTGAATAATTTCTTTAAATAGAAAGTTTTACAGAAATTTTAAAAATTTAAAATACACTGAGATTCATTTAAATGTCTGCTCATGGGCCAGGGATATAATAGCTCAGTGGCACAGCGCCTGCCAGCCAAGCACAAGGTTGTGAGTTCAGTCCCCAGTCTTAAATAAATAAATGTTTGCTCACAACTATGCTGAAATGCCCTTGGGAAAAGTATACTCCCATATACTGGTAACAGAAGAATACACTGAACTCTACAAAAAGTAATCTGGTAATAACTAGCAAATTACAACTACATAGTTCCTTTTTTTTTTTTTTTTTGTCTTTTTCTTTTTTATCGGGACCGGGGATTGAACTCATGACCACACACTTGCAAGGCAGGCGCTTATGCCACTGAGCTAAATCCCCAGCTCCTACTACATAGTTCCTTTAGTCAAGCAAAATCTTTTAGGGTTAGTGGTAAAATGCCCATCTAGCATCTTCTTAGGCCATGGGTTCAATCTCAGCACAGCAATACCTACATACATAAATATGTAAAATGTGCACTAAGAAAAAACACTAAGAGGAAATACACCAAACAGCAATGGTAGTTTCCGGAAATCAGAAGACAGATAAAGGATAGTATTAACTTTCCTGCTATATTCCTTTCCATGTTTTATGGGTAAAATCCAACTAAACAAAGAAGCATATTTAATAAATTACAAACAGTGTGCTTTTAAGTATTACATATAAAACTCCAATATTTTTTCTATGAAGTAGTAATAAATCAAATAAACAAATTATAAAAATAAATCAAATCCCTTGGAAAACAGAAATTTCCAACACATTGCCAGTAATCAAAATAAGTCACCAACAATTTGACACCCTATTTAACACACTGCATTAGAGGTCAAATATAATCTGCAGCCCTGAGGAAGCCAATGCCTGAATTTCTGAGTTCAGCAAGGTAGGAATAGTTTCTGCATTTTCAATGCATTGTGAAAACAAAGAAAAATATACAGCATGTTTTTTTATCTTCTGTGGCCTTCGTGGAAAGTATTTCCTATCACTATACTAGAACATAATAAAATAACAAATAGTGACAGATTATTAGAAGATTTCAAACTATAGTTCTAGTAAAATACTCTTTGCTTTTTGAGGTAAATTAATGTTTCAATATATGTAGCTTCACTAAAATCTCTTAAAGTTGTGAAGAAGGCCTGACATGCTGAACACCTATATTCCCAACCCTTGGGATGCCGATGCAGGAGGATTGCTGAGTTCGAAACCAGCCTAGACTACACAGTAAGTTCAAGCCCAGCCTGAACTGCATGGCGAGCCCCATCTCAAAAAAATAAATAAATAAAACTATTAAGAATAATAACAATTTAAGAGTCAACATCAGTTCTACTGTAAGCTTTACTTACTTTTAGAATTGGCTTTAATATATTTTATTGCAACATATCTTGCAAAATGATACATCAGATGAATAAACTTAGGGCCACCAGGAGAAAGAAACAGTGAGCCAACAACTTGAGGAAAGCTGTCACACTCCGCCTGCAAAGAAAGAGAAGATGACATAAAAACCCCACCAACAATATTCCTTATACTTACCCAGCATCATGCTATGTTTTTACAGGGTGCAGCAGTCTTATAGTGAAGCCCCGTCAAGAGCACCTCCCTACAGGGTAGCAACCACAGGACCATCCTGTGAACCATCAGCACATCCTCATGGCACAAGGGCTTGGATATGCTTAGATGTTCAATTCCATCGCACAGTAAAAAGGGCCAGGGAGAGGAAGCCTTGGCCAGCCACCACTCCCAATCTGCTCCTTCCTTGTATCATACTATTTCTTAAGCATAAAGTGATTGATCAAAATTATTTTGTTCATGCTGGGCATGGTGGTAAATGCCTGCAATTACAGTTCTTCAGGTTTAGAGGAGGTTCACAAGTTTCAGGCCAGCCTGAGCAACTTAACAAAACCACAAAACAAAATAAAATGGCTAGAGATACAGCTCAGCCCTCCCTAGGTTCAACATCCAGAACTATCAGCCACATTCACAATGAGGCTGTATAAGCATGAGTGTCCCATGCCACCCAATGGGACAATCGTGTATGTCATGGATGATTCAAGCTGCCTGACAGAACAATAATAGATGTACCATCAGTGGTTCAAGTCACCCAATGAGACAGTCATGTATGTTATCACTAATGATTCAAGCTGGGAGGAATACACTTTTTAAAAAATCATTCTGACTGAACCACATGAATTGATTTTTCTAAATTCTAAGTGAAATCGGTGACAATAGATATTCATAATAATAAAGCCACAAACACTGATACCTGAGCTGCAACAGTCTTATGATCAAAAAGTATTCTTTAGCCAGGCATGGTGGTACATGCCTGTGATCTCGGCTACTCAAGATGGAAAGGCAAGAAGATTACATTCAAGGCCATAGGCAATTGGTAAGACAGTCTCAATAAATAAAAAGGGCTGAAGATGTAACTTAGTAACAAAGCACTCTTGGGTCCAATTCCAATCCCTAGTGATACTCTTCATCTTATTGTTCACCAATCCCTAGTATTTTTTTTTTAAATGATATTCTTTAAACAAAAATTGATAAATACTATTTCTTATGAATATAGACAACAAAGCTAATTCCTTAGAAATACACAGAATCCCATACCAAAGCCACTAAAAAATATAGTAATTACTATTTCATTGCATATTCTATTAGCATTAAAGCATTAAAAAATTTTACTTTTAAAAATTAATATAGTTTTTCTGGGTGTAGAGGTTTACACCTACAATCTCAGCCTTGGGAAGTCGAGGCAGGATGATCCCTGCAAGTTCAGTCTGGGCTACACAGTGAATTAAGGATAGAAGAACCTGTCTCAAAAAAGCAAAAACAAACAAACAATCTATTTAGTTTTTGCTGAGGATGAGGACAAACGCCAGATTTCAGGAGGCTGAGGCAGAAGGATCATTGTGAGTTCAGTCCAGCCTGGACTACATAAGCAAGCTCAAGACCAGCCTCAACATAAGACCCTGTCTCAAAAAACATAGTAATAATGTAATTTTTAATGTCTTCAAGTCTGCATCTTCCAAACACAGAATACCTACAGAAATCTTTTTTAACCATTCACAGCAGTGTTTCCGGAATTCAGTGTCACTTTTTTGGTCAAATGGAGGCCAGCAAAACCTTAAAAACAAAAATAAAAGTGTTAGTACTATGAACCAAAAATTCAAACTCAGAAAAATTTTTTAAAAACACATCAAATTTATTTCCTATTCTAGAAACATTAAAGCACAATGGATTAAAGCTAGCATTCTAAAATCTCAGCTGAGGACACCAGTCTGTGAAAAATTGAGTCTTTATAAATATCTGTAGGCGTGAGTTCAGTTTAGTGCAAACAACTAACGAATGTATACCTTAAATGTAGAAATGAACAGCTACTAAAATTAATGAAAACCAGATAAACACAACACTCACAATGGATCTACTAGACAAATGCATTAAGATGGTATAAATACATTAGTGCAGTTAAGTCTGAAAACAAAAATCTTGTGAGAGAAAAGCGTAAGTGAAATAAGCACATAAAGACTACATGATAGTCTGATTCTTAAAGTGATAATCTAGGGGCTGGGGATTTAGCTCAGCAGCACAAACACCTGCCTTGCAAGCAGGTAGTCATGAGTTCGATCCCTGGTACCAAAAAAAAAAAAGAGAGAGAGAGAGATAATGGATTTTAAAGAGAGATAAAATGTATTTCAAAAAAAGAGATAATCTGCATCATAATCTGCTCTGTGTTTTTGACTAAACAACAACATACAAAACTATGAAAGAGAAAAGTTCTACTTTAGCTTTGGTCAAAAATACTAGACCTTGGCCAGACATGGTGGCACAAACCTGAACCCAGCAATCAGGAGGCTGAGGCAGGAGAACCACTGTGAGCTGAAGGCCAGCTTGGGCTACATATCAAGATCCTGTTTAAAAAAAAACTAGATTTCAAAATTACCTATTATTTTCCCCCTATAATTACCTATTACCAATTTCATCCAAACTTTTGAGGCATACTTATTTGTTCAAATCATCATGCTTTTTATATTTCTATAATGTATTTCATACTCAGAAAAAAAATATGTGCAGAAGAAAAAGACTGAAAGGCTAGAATATCAATAGCAATATTCTCAGACTGGTGAGTTTAGGAATGATTTTTACTGCTTCTTTAAATTCTTCCATATTTTAAGATAAGCCATAATGTGATGTTTGGAAAGAGGATCTTTTTTTTTTTTCCAGACAGGGTCTCACTATGCATCTAGGCCAACCTTGAACTTAGGATCTTCCTGCTTCAACCTCCTTCATGCTGAGTGGAAAGTATCAGAAGGCCAATTTTTATTCACACAGAGGAAGTCTTCCATCTTAACGATAGGGATTTCAAAAACTGTTTCAAATACATGTACTGTCCTGGGCACTTACAGCTTTAAATGAAAGCAAAGCATTAAAAATAAATTATCAAGCCGGGCATGGTGGCACACGCCTGTAGTCCTAGCACAGGAGGATCACTGCTAATTCAAGATCAGCCTGGGCTACACAGTGAGTTCAAGGCCAGCCTAAACTACACAGCAAGAATCTGTCTCAAAAAAAAAAAAAAAAAAAAAAACATTTACAGAGAACTAGAAAGTAAAACAAACAACACTGCCTAAAAGAAAAGTAGTAAGGTATAGGGTAATGTAAAAAAAGGGCAAAGTTGACTATATCAACAGAATGGTATCACTTCATTTTTTTGCCTAATTAAGACCACAAAGAATGTTGAGAAATAGTTTTATGAAACAAAATCTGGGGCCCTTTCAGGGAGAGAACCACCAGTGTCTCCGAAGACCCATGCCATGTTAGAACTTAGGAGCCTGGGAAACCAAGCAAGCAGCTTGCCTCCCTGGTAAGCAGCTGCAGTGTGGCAGACTACGGCCCCTCCAAGGTTAGTACCACCAGGGTCTCCTGAGATCCACACCATGCTGGAACTTAGGACGCTGGGAAACCAAGCAACCAGCTCGCCTCCCTGCTAAGCAATAGTGAATCTACTGGTGCACGGCCTAGAGTCAAATATCCCACTTCCCCTATGCCCCTCTCCTGTCCCCCCATCAGCATATGGGAACCAGAAATCTGAGCATCTCTTGGGAGGCTGACCATAGCAAATGAGGGGGATTTCCTTTTACCATCTCTTTGAAGGCAAATATTTTTATTACTGTTTTGCTTTATTCTGATTAATGGTACTGCTCTATTCAATATTCTGTTTTGATAAGTTCTATAATGTCTTGTATTTCATTTTATTTTGATATACATGACTAAGAACAACTATTTTTTTTTTTTCATGTCAGACAGGTAATGTGCCGAGGTCGTAACAAGGTTGAAAGGAGGCACATGTCATACATAGAGCATGAACACCCAATCATCACGCTTATGAACCTGAGGATCAAGAACAACTATTGTAAAGATAACGAAATATACTATGATACCTATTATTGTTATCCCAGTAACCTGCTGTGAATTTCTGTACCAATTTCACTACACTGTCTCAGTTGGCTTTATTCTGTCTTGTTCTGTTGTACTTTACTACTTTCAAAATAAAAATAAAATTTAAAAACCTGTATTGTTGTAGCTTGGCATAACTGATGCCATCTTAAGCCCTGCATTTAACTAGTGCCCTGTATTCAAGAAAATGGAAAATTACTCAGGGTATATATCCCATGAGAAAAGCAGAATGAGCTATACCTACAGGAGAAAAACTAACCTGCTCAACAAAAGAAACACGATACAGGTGTCAACCAAAAATTAATGAAAGATTCGAGCTGAACTCTTTTCAACAGGATGTCTTCTGTGATTTTCTCTTTTAAAAACTCTGTAACTTTCCAGTTTGGTGCCACTTGTTTGGACCCAAAACTGGGGCAAGGTCTATATACCAGTGGTCCTGAGCTCAGTTAATTAGATTGCAAATTTATCAATTTGGCTGCTTGGTTTCCTATGTTGTTTTTCACGAACCCACCTCATACATTTTCTATGAAATACACAATGATTTGAAGATACGTACAAAAAAATAAAAAAGAAGCCCCACCCAGATACACTAAATTTCAAATCTGAATTTTGTGGCATCCTTTCAAAACAAGAGTTAAAAGGCCAAAGTTGAAATCTGGTTTACATCAAACCACAGTGCATTCTTAAAATTTGAGAATAATTAAGATAAGAAAGTGAACTAATTTTTCCTTACTTGAAAACTTCTTTGGTGAGAGACTGGTCTAGCGTTTGAAACAAAAAATAAGAAACTATATGAAAGGCATCACGGTTCAGCTTGTCAAACATGTTCCTAGGGATTTAAAATGAAAAAGTAGGATGAGGAAAACGAAAATGGAAATGGTTAATAAAACTGAACATCATCAACAGGATACAGTTCTTGCACAGCATGCATGAGGGCCCCAAGTTTCATCTCCACCTCACCTCCCAACAAGTTAACATGAAAGGCAAGCTTATTTCCAGGGATTCAAACCAAGTAAATCTTTAACTTAGCATTACTATTCTCTTGTTTAAGTTACTATGCCTATTCACATGTCAAATTCTTTTATACTTTTTTTTTGTACCAGGAATCCCACTCAGATAGGACCCTGCACTTGCCAAGCAGGCACTGTGCCACTGAGCTATATCCCTGGCCCTCTTTTGTCCTTAGAATGTCTCATTCCTGAAGGAATATTAAAAGTTCCATCCATCCTACTTCCTTACCACCCCTCAAATCCCATTATTTGCCCATAGTACTCTGCTCCCCGTGACACTTACAATTTATAGTATAGAATTTGGTGTTTATTCACTCTCTAGACAAAAATTCTGTAAGGCAAGTTTTGCTTTGTTTTTTCTTTTTTCATCTTTTTGAGACAGAGTCTCACTGTGTAGTTCACGCTGGCCTTGAGCTCACTTTATAGCCCAGACTGGTCTCGATTCTCCTGCCTCAGCCTCCAGAGTGCTGGGATTACAGGTATGCACCACATGCCCAGGTGTAAGGGCAAAGTTGTATTTCTTCCACCCACCACTATATGCTCTGGTCCAGTACTACATTCATTAAGTATCTGCTTGCCAGAAATGGCTACATCTGTACACCAGCACTCAGGAGGCTGAAACAGCAGGACCACAAGTCCCAGCTGCATTTCAAGACCCTGTCTCAAAAATGAGTACCTGCTGAATGTCAACAAAGAATCAGTCACTTTTTTCCATTTCCATTGCCTCCTTAGTGAAACCTTCCACTTCTAATCCATTCTCTGTAATGTAACCAGTATGATTTTTCCAGAATGTAAAACTTTGGGGCAAATACTCTAGAATGGGACTGCGGAGTCATATGTTAAGTGTTCCATTCAGTTTTACAAGAAAGTGTTATGCTTTCTAGTTTGTGTGAGTATACGGTATATAACTATACACTCACTCAAACTAGAAAATCATGGAACTGCAACCCAAAAAGAATGTTCCCGTATAAGCAAGTTTTAAAAACTAAACCAGAAAACAAAATGCACACCAGGCATGGTGGTGCATACCTATAATCCTAGCTACTTGGATGGCTGACAGAAGAATCACAAAGAGACCCCATTCTGGGGAACTCAAAGAGACCGGGTCTCAAAATAAAAATAGGAAGGGCTGGGAACAGAGATCCATGGTACAGAGCATGTCTAGCATACTCTAGGCCCTGAGTTCAATCTTCCTATTGCCAAAAAATATATCAAGAAGAATGCAATTGTACTGCTGTATAAGCCAGAGGAGAGAACATTAAGACGACTAAAACACCAGCGAGGAGAATGCAGGGGCAATGAAAGCCATTCTCAGAGGAGCCACTAAAGAGGCCTCAAGCTTCTCTGCCAGTGCACTGCAAACAAGACTGCAGTGGGTCATCAAATCAAATGAATCAAGTGAACATTTATTAATAAATACACCATCACAACCTGCTAAGTGGACTTCTGGACAAAGCACTTCATACATATTCATAAGAGTACTTCCAGTCCCAGGGGCTGGGGATTTAGCTCATCGGCATAAGCACCTGCCTTGCAAGCAGGCGGTCGTGTGTTCGATCCCCGGTGCCGATAAAAAGGGAAAAAAAAAAAAAAAAAAAAGAGTACTTCCAGTCCCAGCACCAAAGGGTTCTAAGCGCATTATTAAAACACAGTCACTTGGAAGAACTGAAATTACAAAATTCAACGAGATTGGGGAGAATAGGAGGTGGCCAGTGTATTCTCGATTGCTCTGGCCTTTAGTGGGGAAGATAAGAGACACTGTCTAAGTTACAAGAATATAAACAAAATATTTAGTTTTATGGTATGACCATACCAGAAGCGGCAAAAGGGAAGGAGCTTTTGCTTTTTGTCTCAATACTCTTCTCTACTATTTTTTTTCTAAATCTGCAATGCTTTCGTGTCCTTATTCAAAAAGTAAAAATTACAAACTAAAGTCCCTTCAAAGGCTCGCGTCCCAAGGCGTTTGTACGTAGTTTCCAGGCCTCCCCACGCGACAGTCCTCCCCGCACCTCACAGTCCACCCGCCTCCACCACCTAGGCGGGGTTTTGTCCCGACTGCAGCCTATTTGCCAACAAAGTGCTCCCAGACCCTTGCAGCCAGTAGCTGGCACATGGGGACCGCCCAGCTCAACCACTCCCGACTCATCCACCCGCGGGGTCTGCCAGCCCCCGGCCTCCTTACACTCCAAGGTGCGTGTGTGACACGATCTTCCCGCTGGCTACGGCGGCCCGGCCTGGCTCGAAGCCGAGCGCCCGCAGATACATCCAGAGATGCTGCTTCTCGAAAGAAGTGACACAGGCAGAGCTCATCTTCACAGTCGGCGAGGTGATTTCAACGGAAAAAAGCTCAGGCCTCCAAGCAGTTGTCAGGGCTCAAGTCAGGATCCCTCACTACAGGCAGCCAGAGCTCGCGGCGAACCCTCCTTCCCCGCCGCCCGCTGCTTTGTCGCCGAAAGCCATTTCGCGTCAAACAGCCGAAAGGCCTCCGGAAAATGGAGCGGTTAAAGATGCCTAGGCGAAGCCACCACAAAACAAGACTCCCGCGCTTCAGGAAGAGCTGTGCGCGCAGGCGCCGCCAGGCTTCCGGGAAGGAGAGACTTCCCCAGAAGACTACATCTCCCCAAATGCAATGCGTCCTCCACTCCGCCCTTCCGGTTACGCCCAGCCGAAAAACCACAACACCCAGAGTGCATTGCGTAGCCAGTTTGCGGAGTTGTCCTGACCTCGCCATTCTGTTTTGCTGTTATTTTTTTCTCATTCTGTCTATGATCGTTAAGTAAAAGTCATAGATAAAGTACTGTGGCTCAGTGCAATGAGAAAGCCATGAGTGTCGGTTCTGTTTTTACAAAAGCTATATTCAGAAAACTGCATCAACTGGGTGTGGAGGCACAAGACTATAATCGCCGCATTTGGAAGACTGAGGCAGGAGGATTGCCACGAGTTCAAAACCATCTTATACCACTTATCGAGTCGCTGTCTAAAAAAAAAAAAAAATAGTAGAAGACTGCATGTTCCTTTCTCCTTGTTCTGGCTCCCTCTGTCAAACACATAGCTTCCTCCTGCAGCAATCTCACCTGATAGCTCTTTTGTCATGTATGACAGGGCTTGGATATAGGATGGGTATCTTACTCCACGTTTGCCATCTCTGGCAGTTACTGCCTCCTGTGATGTGTCACTAAAACCACCAGCTTCTTTGAAGCCTGTGCCTTCACCCATAACCCTTCTGCATGGAGGTCATCCCCACAGGGCTGGCCCTCATTTTGAGAAGATTCAGAATTTAATTCCTGTCTCCCCAACATTGCTGGGGATTTATTGTAATACAGGTATCCATGTGCGTAACCTTTCCAGTACTCTTCCTTCTCAGCTACCAGTCTCCAGTAACTGTATCTTATATTCTGCCTTAGCCACCCACTCTTATGGCACATAGCACTAGACCTCATCAATATCTACACCACCTTTATAATCTCAATTAAAACCTCCAAAATCTTATCCCAACTCTTGGTGATACACCAGAATCTCTAATCCTTTTCTCTCTGCAGAGTTTATTGCTCCATTTATATCATTATAAGCATTACCATGAATTCACCATTAGCTCCCCAGTCCCTTTCTCTTTGCCAGATTTATTGGCAAAACCCAAACCTTATAGTTATGGATTAAGAACTGGTGGTCAACATCAGCATGGCACTGAGAGTACAGCATGACACTGAGAATACTGATGTTTCCTACTCCATGTCCTATTTTTAATTGTTCTCTGCACAACCCCTAACTACAACACTTGTTAAATCCAATTCTCTACCTATTCCACATCTGTAATTTAGCAGATAAAATGCAATTATGATGCCTGTTCCCACTCTAAATTCATAACTCAAGTGAGATCTTAGGCTTGCTCCTGAACCCCACTATTTTCTATTTTTCTCAAATCAGTCTCTCTCCCCTACCCGCCTCACACATACACAAAATTAACTCACAGATTTAAATGTACTTATGGGGATTAATCTATTGTATCTCTTATGTATCTGTATGTTATGGCTTGTGTCTAGATGTCTCCTCAAAGCCTTATGTGGTCATGGGTGGGAATTTTTCAGAGGTGGCTCCATCTAGAGTGCAATGCTAAAAATCAAGAGCACTAGGATTATGGATGCGAATGCTACCCATAGTAAATAGCCTGATTAAAATAAAAGGGATAGAAAGAGCTGTGGTCATCCCTTGCTTGCTTCACTACTTTCTGCCCACCATGAGCTGTTGCTCTTTGTGATGCCAATCTTCCCACCATGAGCTGTTGCTCTTTGTGATGCCAACCTGCGCTAGAGCCATTGGCTTCCAGACTGAAACCTCTACAGACCGTAAGTTAACTAATTGAAAGAGTTGCTGGCTGGCTCAGACCGAATACTGTAACCAGGAAAGGCTGCAGCTAAACTCCTCCCCCCCCCGCCCCCTATGGACTTGACTGTAACCCTATATCCCCATCCTTAAGAACCTGTGCGCCAATGAGATACCTGTGCATCTCTAATGGCCTTAGGGCACTGCCCTAAGCTTAGGCTATTTAGATTCCCCCACGCCACGTGTCCGAGAGAGATCGCCAGAGAGAGATCGCCGGATTCCAGCAGCCAGTGCGCCAGTCTCCTCTCCCCGTGTTAACCACGGCCCCGGGTGCAGTGGAGAGGCTGCGCCTGGGGCCGGCGGAGGGGGGCCTCCCCCCGCATCCCCCAAATAAAGCCACCACTGCCCACTACTTTCACGGCCGTCCACTCCATTCCTCCCACGGACTTCTACCTCTCTCCCTCTCTCTCCTCCTCTCCCTTCTCTCAGACCTAACACTAATAACTTCCCCCTTTAACTTTGGGTGTCAAGTATTTTGTCTTAGTAACAGAAAAAGTAACTAAGACACCATATTGTACTATATTGTCCCATATTTGGCCAATGTGAATCTCTTCAATTTGGCTCTTTCAAAAAGTTTAAAACTTATTTTGTTCATTTCTTATCTCAGAACTAGAATCAGCCATTTCTTCAGGAAACTCTTGTTTCTTTCATCAGGCCAGGTTATGGCCCAAACCTGGGCACTAGGATATTCACAGCTACTGGGTTGGCTATGGTTTCTACAATTTATTTATGTACTTTAATGTTGTTTTGGATGAGGCACTGCTCTAAGTATTCATAAATGTTAGTTATTGAATCTTCATAACAAACCTAGTACTATTCTCATTTTCTAGGTAAGAAAGTTGAGACAGTGAGATACTAAGTAACCTGATCAAGGTCACACAGTAAGTGGCAGACCAAGATTATAACCTACACCAGGCATGGCAGTGCAGTTATAACCCAGCATTCAGTAAGCTGAGGCAGAAGAATTGCTGTGAGTCTGAGGATAGTCTGAAGTACATACATAATGAGTTCAAGGGCAGCCTGAATTACATAGCAAGACCATATCTCAAAAACAGACAAAAATTATAATCTGCAGTCTCAGCCTTTACCACCACACTATGCTTTCTGTCAGTTGACTGCCTTTTGTTCATTCACATGCTTTCCAGTAAAAGGGAAAGCAAACCACCCGCCACCTTTACTGGAGACTGAATCCAGGACCTCTTCACTGAGCTACAATCCTCAGCCTTTTGTTTGTTTTGTTTTGGTACGGGGATGGAATTCATGACCTTGTGCTTGCCAAGCAGGTGCTTTTGCCATTGAGCTAAATCCCCAGCCCTGGCAGGTTTTTGTTTTGTTTTGTTTTTATGTGTGTGTGTGTGGGGGGGGGTTTTGGTTTTTAGCCTTTTTTTTTTTTTAAGACAAGGTCTTGCTCTGTAATTCAGGCTGGCCTTGAACTTGTGACAATGTCCTGTCTCAGCCTCCCAAATACTTGGATTACAAGCATGCACTGCCACACCCAGCTCCATCCCCAAATCTTTTAAAATTTGTTTATTTTGAACTTGGCTACATAGTGAGTTCCTGTGTGTTCTCATGGTGAGCGCAAGGCCAGCCTGCACAGCATAGCAAAACCCTGTCACCAAAAAAAATTTTTTTTAAATTTTGAGATAGGACTTAGTCATCCAGGCTGGACTCAAATTTACTATCTTCCTGTCTCAGCCTCCCAGAGAGCTGCAATTATGAGACCAGGCCACCACACCTGCAAATGCAAAAATTTGACCTGCAGTGTGAGAGACAACTCCAGTGACTCCCCTTGAATGCAAAACAATTACTGTGACTTTGATTACTTGGAGACATTTCATTATACTGATATGTAGACAGCTGGCTATGGTATTTCCTTCTCATTTCAATTGGCTCTAAGCACTGCAAATAAGGCTAGCGGAGGTGCTAATATGCAGTCTCTAAAGCCAGTAGACAGTCCTGTCACCTCACATAGTGTTCTCCATACAGGATATGAGCACAGTGGGATGTTAGAGCTAATATCTCCAAAAATGTCAACTAGGTAGGAGCCTCAAGGTAAAGAAGCATGACTCCCCAGGGCACAAGAGTTTGCATATCAGAAACCAAAGTGATAGTCCCCAAAAACAATTTGTTGCTACTGTAATTAGATTATGTAAATTGTTCTCCTGCATATCTTTATCTCTGAAATTTACAGAGGTGCCTTTCTCTCACCTGGCCAGCCAGCTCAAGTTACCCACATAATTCCTGCCATCCTTACTGTCACTCATCCCTGAGCCACCCCCTTTCTTCACAAGGTAATAAATTCTGGGAGAGATCTAGGATCCAGGCCTCATCTGCATGTCCTCACGAGGATTGGATTTAGGACCCCGTGGCTGCCCTTCTCTTGGAACATGTCTGGGTGTCTTTACTCTTGCCATGGGTTGCATTGGTGGTGCTAACTTGCTGTGATTCAAATAACATCTCAAATAACATAAATAACATAAATAACATAAATAACATAAAATAACATAAATAACAGTGGGATTACAAATATAACTTTTTGGATTGTGAGGAAAACTAGAAAGAGGATTACAATACTTGGATGACTGAACTTGATATTTGGGATTATAATACAGCAAACCCGCTGAGATCCCCAAAGAAGTAAGTATGCTATTATCAAAAGAAGCAGAAACGAATCCTTAGAGAACAAAGAAGTCCCCACTCTGATTCAAGGTGACATAGCTCAATTTTTATTATAAGCATTTCAAGTGATTAAACTTTTTTTTGTTTTGTTTTGTTTTGGTACTAGGGATCACAACCTCACACTTGACAGGCAGGTGCTTCTGCCCCTGAGCTAAGTCTCTGGTTTCTTTTCTTTTCTTCTTTTGGTTTTTTGAGAACCTCAGCACCGCAAGTACTAGGATTACACACGTGTGCCACCATGCCTGGAAACAGCAATTCAACTTTGAAAACTAACACAGATGTTTTACAAAAGTTTAGTTCAATTAGATTCATTGCAGTTAAAATCAAGTAGCCAAAACATAGATTAACATTCTCAAAAGCCACAGGAACAAACACATGAGCAAACATGAAGTTTAATGTGATACAAATTTTATATTCAACCAAAAGCGGCAATGTTTTGTATGTTAGTTATTCAACATTTTGCCCTGAGAAGACACATCTTTAGCATGTGAATGATTTGCTTCATCCTCCTCCTCCAAAGGTATAATATCAGGAATTTCATCAGTCTCCGATGTCAGGTCTATGGCTGTGAAATCAAATACCTGTAAAAGAAGACTCACAGCCATTAAAACTAGGAAAGTAAACTTTCAGGTCCACTTAGAGACCACATACTGAGCAGAGGTTAACTTTGCTTTGTCCAAGCCATGCTTAAGAAAAAAAGGATTTGTATTCTTATTCCTCTAATTCACATTTATTATGAAAACACTAATGAAACCTTTCTCTGTCTGTCTCTCTCTGCTTCCTGACACAGGGTCTTGCTATGTAATTCAGACTGACCTTGAACTCCTGATCTTCCTGCCTCTGAGTGTAAAATTGTTCTTTAAAAGGAAATTAACTATTATTAGATCCCTAAAGTGCTTTTAAAAGGCCAGGGTGATAGAAAGTATCTCTTTATATTTATTGATTGCTCAAAACAATTTATTCCATAATAAAAACAGTAATATTCCATTTTATATAACTGTGCCTTCCAAAAATATAAACCCTGTTGGAAATGTCTGGAAATGGAGTAAGTAAATGGCTTTCCAATGGCTGAGGCCACCTTAAGGGGCTGTGGTGTCACTCAACAGTAGGGCATGTGCTTAGCATAAGCAAGGCCCTGTGAGCTCTGCCTTAAAAGGAAAAAAAAAATTTAGTGAGGCATAGTAAATTACTAAAGACTGAAATCTTGATAATGAGGGGGGAGTTCCAGATTGCTCAACAGGGCCCAAATAACTAACAACAACCAAAAAAACTTTCAAAAAACAAGGGGCAGAGGCTGGGGATTTAGCTCAGTGGCATAAGCACCTGCCTTGCAAGCAGGCAGTCGTGAGTTCCATCCCTGGTACCAATAAAAAGGAAAAAGACCAAAAAAAAGGAGGAGAAGGGGAATAAAAAGAGTTAAGATACAGATAAAAAGAGTAAAGATACAGTAAGAAATTGTACACACATATAATCCCCATATTGATTGTAATCAATATGTACCACACATATTTAGTAATAAAAAAAAGAAGAAAAAAAAGGACTGGGGAATTAATGGTTAAGTCTACAGAATAAATGGGTACAGAATTTAGGCTGAGATGATACAAAGTTCTATAAATGAGCCATGGTCATAGTGGAGCTACACTGTGAGTTTATTTAATGCCACTGAATTGTACATTTACAGATGACTAAAATACTGGGGATGGTGGCACATATCTGCAGTCCTCGCATTCAGGAGGCTGAAACAGGACGACCGCCTCAGGTTGGAAGCCAGCCTGAGCTACATAATGAGTTAAAGGCCAGCCTGAGCTACACAGTGAGACACTCTCAAAAAACTGAAACAAATTTAAAAATAAAAAGGGTAAAATGATAACCTTGTTATTCAGGAGAGTGAGGTGGAGGAGCAGTGTTGAGGCCCAGTCTGGCCTACCTAGCAAGTTCAAGGCCAGCCTAAGCTAAGCAGTGAGACTCTGACTCAAAATATCAAAAAGAAAATGATAAATTTGATATTATGTATAACATCAGATCCACATAACACCACCAAAATAAAAAGGCCTGGGCTACATAGTGAATTTGAGGCCATCCTAGACTATATAGGAAGACCTTGTCTCCAAACAAGTAAACAAAAAGATAAGCAGTTTTTGCTTTGTTCATCAACCCCATATCGGCTGTTTGTGGTTCTCACTGCACTTTTCTCTAAGGACTCGTGTGACACAGGTCTGTAGTCCCAGCACTCTGGGAGGCTGAAGCAGGAAGTTCACAAAATGGAGCCCAGCCTGGGCAATTTAAGGCCCTTAACACAACACCATACTGATAGCCCTTGTTCACTGGCCCAGCTGAACTCCTGTATATACAACAGACCAGGGGACCTGGCTCCAGAGCATGAAACCTTACACAAACACGAAATGGCCCAGAGACCTCAGACTAAGGTGACCTGATTCCAGAACAGCTGGTCTCCAGCTCCCACCTTCTCTGCCACCCCTTATAAACCTCTGATCTGTGGCGCCTTGATAAAATGTGTCTTTGCTGCAAGACTGGGAGACAACAGGCGTGACTCCCCTTGAATGCAGAACAATTGCTACAACTTTGATTAGATGGAGACTGACTTTCTTATATTGATATGTACAGAGCTATGTATTTTTTTTCTCTTTAATTGGCTCTAAGCATTGTAAATAAGGCTAGCTGGGGTGCTGGTGTGTAATCTCTAAAGCCATCAGTCTTCTGTTTCCTCCTATAGTGCTCTCTCTAAAATATATATAAATGTCAACTGGGTATGAGCCTCAAGGTAAAGAGGCTATGACTCCCCAGGGCACAAAAGTTTACATATCAGAAACTAAAGCAACAGCCTCCTAAAATAATTCAGCTGACACCTTAATTGAATTATACAAATGGATCCTTCTGTATATTCTTATCTCTGCATTTTGCAGAGATGCTTTTCTCTGCTACCTGGCCAGCTCAAGTTACTCACATAATTCCTGCATCCTCACTGTCACTCATCCTCAAGCCACCCCCTTCTTCACCAGATAAATTCTGGGAGAGTCCGAGGCTCAGGGCCTCTGTCTGTACTTCCTCCTGGGGATTAGATTTAGGACCCCTTGGCTGCCCTTCCCTTGGATCTCACTGCATAGTAGGTCAGGCTGGCCTTGAACTCACTATGTAGGCCAGGCCAACCTCAAACCTACAGTGTTCTTCCTGCCTTAGCTTCTAAGGGCTGAGGTTACAGGTGTGTGCCACAAACTAGATGGTTTGTTCTTAACATCTATTAGGGTTTATTTGTTTTACTATTTTATTAAATCTTAGGCCAGGCATCGTGGCGCACTTCTGTAATCCCAGCATTTGGGAGGCTGAAGCAGGTGGATCATTGCAAATTCGAGACCAGCTGGGGCTACAAAGTAAGCCCCAGACCAGCCTGAACTGGATAGTGAGACCCTGTCTCAAAAAGAAAAAAAAAGATAAATAAATAAAAATTTTAAAAATCTTATCTAGTATCACTGTTTGTTTTTACTCAGTATAAAAAAGAGTGGGATTTTCCAGGGCCCAAAGAAGGAAGCAAGCTGCATTTCTCTCCAATCAGTGGACAAGAATGCCAGCATAGAAAAAACACACACTTTGTCAAAGGGCCTGCAGCACAGCCCTTTTCAACTTTCCCTCCCTGTTGCAAGCCAGGATGACACCTCACTCACCAACTGACTTGTGGGTGAGGAGGGAAGGCAATGTAAGCCTGGTTTGTGAAAGGTGCTCAGTAAACAGTAATTTCTGTTTAATTGCTTACGTACCAACACACACACACACACACACACAAACATACACAGCCCTCCAAAGTCATGTATGACAAAGTAGATTTCTTTGCAGAATATTAGAGATTCCACACTCAAGAGCTTTAGTCTCTATAACCACAACCAAAAAACCATTCTAGTCTCCAACAGGGTTTAGGAGAGCCACCGGTACCATTCACTCACATTCTGTAAGTCCAGAATGAGTCAGGTCTCATTTCCACTAGACTAACTCAAATGTCAGTTTGTCACCATGCCAGACTGTGACAGTGTGGGCTGGGAAGGAAATCAGGGCAGTTTATGCTCTTGCCTGACCATCTACACAAAGCTGTTAAATATATGGCACAAGAAAATCATTTAATGCATTTATAAAATAAATCCGCATTTCACCGACACAAACAAAAATAGCAGTGGACCATGAGAGCAGGAAGGTAAAGGGTATTTTGCTAACACCTATTAGGGATGGAGGCTGAAATCACAATCACATGCATACTGTGACACTGCTGAGGTAACCAGAGATCCTCCCTGCAAGGACAGAAAGCTGACAATATATTCTTTTCAATATAACCAAGCAACTATGCTAGGACTCCCAGGGACACTACACTTTGTGGGTGTTCCCTATGAGATTCAGAGAGGGCACCACACATATGAACTTTGCAGATCCATAGTTATTACGGTATATTTCCAGAAGATGGCGCTAAATATGCAGAAGATGCAGGAGGTTTTGTTTTTGGTGGTTTTGTTTTTGCTTTGGTGGTGGTGGTAAGGGTGCTGGACATTGAACCCAATGGGATCTTGGAACTGAGCATCCCCACTTTTTAAATCTTGCATCTAAGTCCCTAAACTGAGGAGACTGGGCTCAAATTTGCAATCCTCTTGCCTCACCCTTCCAGACTACTGGAATTATAGGTGTAAACCACCATTGGCTATCATGTGCTTTTTCTAACTTTCATAAATGTGGGCTAATGGTGGCTGCAGGTTCTGGACAGTAGACATTAGACAAACAGAAACACCATCTATGACAACTTAACCTGCTGGTAAAGGTGAGTCCATATGCAGTGCTAATAAACATGACACAGGATCAGAAAAGTTGATTCATCTTTAGAGTATAAAGATATAAAAGCCCTACATGTTTAGCTTTTATATAAAAGTAACTCGAATGTATGAGGCTATAATAGGATCATGTAAGAGTAATGGTTAGCTATTACACCAAATATGTAGAGACTAATTTTGCCGAGTTTGATTTTTAACAGAAACTTTACTCTGTATCTTGTGAAGCTGAACTGTGTGCTTGCAAGTGGGAGAGCCAGAAGCATTTTAGTTCTGCTCTATTCTTTTTTACCATCATTGAACACCTGGGACAGAGAGGACTGGTGCACATGCCCTGCCCTAAGGTAGGGTGTTTGATACTTTGTTCTTTTCTAACAAAATGAGGATGCAATTAGAATTCTTGGGCTAGGAGGCATGTTAGCATTGATGATAACAAAACTAAAGTGATTCTTGTTATCTATGGTACAGCATTTAACTACTCAATGTTAGCCCAAATAAATCTGATTTAATTTGATTAGCCTGATACATCTTATTCATTCATTAGATGTTTTGCAATTCTGGACATTGGACCCAGGGATTTGTACTTCGGGGAAGGTTTTTTTTTTTTTTGAAATGGAGATGAACTCATAACCTTGCACTTGCCAGGCAGGTGCTTGTGCTACTGAACTAAATCCCTGGTCCCAAGAAGCTCTTTACCACTATGCTGTGTCTTCAACCCTTTTTTCTAAGTTTTGAGCTAGAATCTAGTTAACTGCCCAGTTGGCCTTGCTTTTGTGATCCTCCTGCTTCAGCCTCCTGAATATATGTGACTACAGATATGTACCACTACATTTGGCAAAGATCCTCAAAATAAGACATGTTATGAAACCCCTGAGGATCTTGTTTAGAGAAAGAGGGCGGTAGACAACTTCATCACTGCTTTTTCTATTTTTTCCTTTTTTTTTTTCTTCCATCTTCCCCACCGTTTTAGTTTCAGGTTAAAATCTTTGTCATATTCTTTTTACTTACCAAATTGTGGCCAAGAGATCCCGTGCATTACAAGCAGTAAGGATATTTTGTTTTTAGGGATGCTCTTTAAAAGTGTAGGTGCCAGCCAGAGATAGTGGACACACACTTGTAAGTAACCCCACATTTGGGAGGCTAACCTAGGAAGATCGCTGTTGAGTTTGAGGCCAGCCTAGGCCATTCAGCAAGACCCTGTCTCAGGAAAAAAAAAAAGACAGAGATCCTAGAAAATACCAATGACTGGAGCCAGGCAATCAGGTGAATGGGTAGGTTCAATTCTGCAAACCCACAAATCTTGAAAGCCCACCCTTCCCAGAAACCAGAAGCACCCTATCTGCAAAACAAAAAGCAGCTCTAACAAGTTAAAGAGTTCCTGCCCTTCAGCCCAACTCATCCGTTTATGGATTCCTCAGGTTACTTGGAGAAAAAGTTTGTAACTCGATCAAAAGCTTTGATAAACTCATTCAAAGGAGCATGTAAAGTTACACGATCCTTGTTTCATGGGATGAAAGGTAGAATGAGACAAATTTGATTTAAACTTTAGCCAGTATGGTGGTGCATACTTGTAACTCCAGCACACAGGAGGCTAAGGCAGGAGGATCACCATGAGTTCAAGGCCAGCCTGAACTATATGGCAAGATCCCATCTCAGAAAACTAAAATAGCTGAGCATGGTAGTACCAGCCTGTAATCCCAGCATTTGGGAGACTGAGGCAGGAAGATCACTGGGAGTTTGAGCCCAGCCTGAGCTACATAAGTAAGTTCAAGGCCAATCTGGAATACACAGTGAGACCGTCTCAAAAAAGGCCTTCAGTTTGGCTGAAGGGCAGATATGTCTGCTCACTTTCTAGTAAACATAGGCAGAAGCATGTAGCTGTATTTTTAAAAATTTATTTTAAAGAGATTAAGACAAAAGAGTACAGAACAAAGCAGATCTGTACAGAACAACGTAAGCAACACACATGTAGCTGTATTTCAAGTCAGTAGGGTAGCTGGTGGACGAGGGCCTGGAGGCTCATTATTAGCCATAATGAAAATTATATTGTAACAATTCACTCCCTTTTAACACAGTAAATCAAAACACAAATGTTACACCTACAATTTATAATTTTTTAGTTTTTTCAGACAGGGTCTTGCTATGTAGCTCAGGTTGACCTTCAGCTCACTATGTAGTTCAGGCTGGTCTCGAACTCACAGTGGTCCTCTTGCCTCAGCCTCTGAGTGCTGGGATTATAAGCATGCATCACCACACCTGGCTTTATTATGCTCTTAAAAGTTATTTTCTAAAGAATGCACTCCTTCCAACATCAATAATGTTTTGTAAAGAATTATTTTTGAAATATTATTACCAATATTATTAGAATTTCCTCACATCAGTTAACGATGGACCATAATAAATTATGTACTAATTTATGGTTCTTCGGAACTGTATTTGATGTGAAACTAAAGTTTCTTATGTGCCTCGAGTGCAGTGGCATCGCCTTGGCAGGACTACTCACACAAGAGCTGAGTGTTTTCCATATGCGTCTCCACTGCTGCAGCCGCTCAGGACAACTGTGTGCAATAGTCCTGCGGCTGCAGATGCAGTGCCTCTGATTGCTGTGGTGACGGATGGGACAGCCTAGAGCAGAGACAGCATTTGTATGCTGGTTCTGCTTCCCCTGAACATATGTTTTGAGCTATAAGAGGTCACAGAAATTTTGCAGCATGGTTAAACTATGTATTTAATACAATGAATTTTTTTCTATAGATGATTTTAACTTCCTACTTTAACACTGTAGATTACTGTATTCTGAAATATATAATTGTAAAAAATGACCTACATTTTTGTCATTTTAATTTTCAATTTAAATAGGGAAAGCTATTGAGAGATGTCGAAAGGTAGCAAACTGAAGGACTGCCCCAGTGGCATGAACTCTAGCTACAACAGTGTCCCAAGCTTTGCAATTTGCTGTAGTGAATTAGTTTACCACAATGCAGCTTTATGCTAAGAAGGTTCATGACTGATCACCACTAAAAGGGTTCTCAGAAGGCTGGATGCCCTAGACAGAAGGTGAAGATTCCTTTTCTCCAGGAGGCCCAAAGCCTCTTCACCTTTAATTATTCGCACATGACTTTCTACAGGTGCCTACCAAGACCTCAGGGTAGTCACTTCTTCTCAAAGTCATTTTACAGTAGGTTAAAGCCAGCTGATAATTGACAATTGAGCAATCTATGGATGATACCTTTTGTTGTTTTTGAGACAGTTTCAGCGAGGTAGTTCAGGCTGGTCTGAAATTACGTAGCCCAAGCTGGCCTACAATTCCAGTGATCCACAGGCCTCAGCCTCCCAAGCGCTGGGATCACAGCCATGTGCAACCAAACCCAGCTGGTTCACTTTTAACTGACCTCTTGGCAAGAAATACCTACTGTTGTTATGTGAAATTAAAAGTTATTCACTTGTTTCCTTTCAGTTTTGATTCCTTTTCACAAGGCAATTGGTCATTACTAGGTCTTTTCACTGACCTAAAAGTCCACTCTGGAAGCACCAGTAAACTGGCAAATGAAAGGAACAACCATCCCAATTGTCACTACATAATGAAGTTGTCATGTGCACGTTAGCTCTCTCTTTTCCAGTATTGGGACTGAATCAAGAGCTCTCACAATGTGCTCCATCCCCAGCCCTTTTTAACTTTATTTTGAGGGAGGGTTTAAGTAGTTTAGTTACCCGAGTTGGGCTCAAACTTCGGATCCTCCTGCCTCAGTCTCCTGAGTGCTTAGATTACAGGTTACAGATTACGCCCAGCTTCTTCCTTTTTGTGAGGGTTTCGTTATGATGGCAAGACTGATCTTGATTTCCTAGCTTCAATGATCTTCCTACCTCAGTCTCCCAAGGAGTTGAGACTATAAGCATGTGCCACTGTGTCCAACCTCTTATTAGCTTTTGTTTGTAACTGTTAATTAAACGTTCATTTTGTGGGCCTGGGGATTTAGCTCAGTGGCATAAGCACCTGCCTTCAGAGCAGGTGGTCGTGAGTTCAATCCCCGGCACGGATTTAAAAAAAAAAAAAAAATCACAAACATTCATTTTGTAACACTGGTCACCCAACACTTGCACTGTTTCCAACGCCCTCACAGGTCAGATGAATTCACTGATGTGTATTAGTCATTGTCAGGAGGATCAAGCAGCTTTATGAAAGCAACACACAAAGCACATGTACAAAAACTGATCTACTTGCTCTTTTATTGAGTTCAAAGGCAATGTTCCTTTAAGGACTAAAAATCTAAAATCAAGTTGTACAAGCATGCATCATTAGATAAGCAATAAGGAAGCCTGCTCAGCAATCACCAGTTTATACACAGCCCACACGAAGGTATTTTTATTTAAACAGTCACAGTAGCAACACAACGACCATAAAATGAGACTTGAACTGAGTTCTGGCCAGGCTCTGACAAAGCTAACATACTTTTCTTACCATGCAACAAACAGAATTTACCTGCTAATGCCAGAAAGTTTAAAGCTCTTAATCCATCTGGAAAGAATCACAACCGAAGACCCTTTTCCTAGTTATCTAATTTCCCACCTGAGAGTCAGCTATCAGGTTAACTCTCATGTAACAAAAGGTGTCAGCTGGATAGCTACATTGAGCACTGGTGACAAGGACAGGGTTAATGAGCTCTCTGCTCAGAATTCTGGCTGGTCCTGTCTAATTCTGTATCTTCGTTCTGAGCATTCTGAGACTGAGTCAGCTGAGGGTAAAAGGGACCTACCAGCCAGTTGAGGGGTGTGTTGTTAACAAGATAATCCATCACATCATCTAAAGATTCCTTCATTCTCTGCAGCTGCCCTTTGCTAGAAGTTAGGAGGTTGTCAGACACTTCTGTAAAGGAGGCAGCATTGCGGAACACGGAGTAGATGTCACCAGCCATCACCCCCAAGTGCTTGGCCTGATCCTGGATGTTCTGCGGTAACCCTTGGACACTGGACAGCAGGGTGTGGCATGTGGTCTGCAGCTGCTGAGTCAGGTTGCGGGCAATGACAAGAGTATGTGACTCGATGTGCTAAAAATAAGAAGCTTAAGAATTAGTAGTGGATCCAACAGGGCTATGTATGAATTACCTCAGTAACAGTAAGCTGATGAGGGTTACTACATATACTGATTTGTTGACTTTTTAAAACTCTCTCTCTCTCTTTTTTTTTTTTTTGGTACCAGAAATAAAATTCGCGATCTTACACGTGCCAGGCAGGAGCTGTGCCACTGAGCTATATCCCCGGCCCTAAACTCTCATAATAACACTGAGTGCTAAAGTATCATTTACATTTCATAGCTATGAACATAAATTCAGTCTAAATAAATTGTGCAGTTAACAGCTGGAAAATAGCTGAGTGATAGTTTTGCAATAATGCCTGTGTCTCCAAAGTTCATCATCTTAAGCTTGAAGCAATGTAACAGGCAGGAGACACCAGACAAACGGAAACACACTCCTTACTAGTAATGCAATTAGGATTTTTCCATCTTCAAGTAAAATGGCATAATATGAACCCAGTTGATATCAAATTTTTTAAAAATGTGCTACAAATTCTCTATGATGAATGTTATCATTATGCATATCTAAAATGTACTGGTTCAATTAATTCTTAAAAATGCATAAAGAACCACTTTCTACAACTGTTAACATGCAACATGCTATTTCTTCCATCTAGAACATCAGCCCTTTATTGCCCTTTCATCTAACTTATTTACCCTTATTCTCACATCTGCACTCTTCTCTCTGAGAATCCATCTCACCCACCCACCCCCACTCCAGGGCCATGCTGACCTTCCTGTACTCTCAATGGATGTGTCTGTATTCCCCATTAGACTGCAGCCACTGTGAAGCAATGTGGGGCACCATCGTCCCTGTAGCTTGTTAGATTAAAATCACTTCCTTCCTAGTTTTGCTTTCCTGACACATAATAAGGAACTTATATACAGAGTATTGCCCAAGCTCAAAAAAATTATTCTCAGAGAAATTAAAGTAAAATCAAAATGAAAAGTCTCACGAGCACTCCTTCAGAATTTGCAGGGACTTTTCCTGTCCTCTCACCTCAGCACAGTGGGACTCGTCGGTGTCATCATGGCCAATGCTTCTCTTCCACTCCACCCATGAGAGATAGAGCTTGTCCTGTGCGTCCTGAATTTTCTGGTTGGCGCTATGCACATTCTTCCTGGCATATTCAATCTAGAACACAATGAATTCATGTCAGCCTGTGTAAAGACTATACCAGGCAACACAAAAACTAAGAATTAGGGCTGATGGAGCTCAGTGGTAGAGCACTTGCCTAGCATCTGCAAGGCCCTTGGTTTAATCCCCGGTACCATAAAAGAAAAAGAAAAAGAAAGAACGAACAAAGGAAGGGAGTGAGAAAAGCAAGGAAAACAAAGGGAAAAAAATACAATAAAAATCAAGAATTTGGGGCTGGAGATTTAGCTCAGTGGCATAAGTTCCTTGCATGGCAAGTGCTAGGTCATGAGTTCAATCCCCAGTACCAAAAAAAAAAAAAAAAAAACACCACGGATTTTTGTGAGACTATAATGAGGACTCTTTCACTTTCACTGTTACTTATCAATATGTGTAAGTCAATCACACTGTAGTAGCCCTTTACTGCCCCTATTTAACTAATAACTAATTTAATCACTGACTCAAAATTTATCTCCAATTTACTGTAGGAAAGACAATGAGACAATCTGTATATGTGTCAAGGATAAGAATTATAAAGGAGCCAGGGATACAGCTCTCTGGCACAAGTGCCTGCCTGGCAAGCGCAAGGTCATGAATTTGATCCTTGGTGCCAAAAAAAAAAAAAGAAAGAAAAAAGAAAAAGAATTATAAGGGGAAGAATTCAACCTTCCTCCTTCCTGTTCCAGTTACCTATTTCCTCTTCCAAGAATGGTTTTCTTACAATGGGACAGTACACAGTATTCTATAATTTAGTAATCTTCCACAGCTACACAATAGTCCATTGTGGCGTATTAATGAGTTCTCTATAGTTGATGTGCACTTACAGTCTCTGGAACTTTAAATAAATATTTATCTGTAGGAAAGACTCCTATAATTATAGCTGTTCCAGGTATAGGTGTGTTTATAATGTTTCTAGAACAGTCCCTCAAGTCAGTTCTTTTTTTTTTTTTGGTGCTGGGGATCCAACTCACAAACTTGCACTTGGCAGACAGACGCTATGCCACTGAGATAGCTGTATCCTCAGTCTGAGATATATCCCCAACCTCCATTCTGGTTTTTTTTTTTTTAATTTTTTAAAAGGCAAAACAGAAAAAAGGATAGAAATAATAATTTTTTTAAAAAGCAAGAAATCAACACTAGTTAATATATTACACATTGTTATCTTAGAAGTAGTTGTTCAAGTTACAAAATCTAAGTATAAAAAATGAACAGACAAATAGTAACAGCACAAACTATTCTTTTTGATGAACTAACAGAGAATTAGTAGTATGGTTATTTATCTTACATACTTAAACATATATAGTTATATGTGTATACCTACAGGTTATTCTTTCCTTGTGAGCACTTTCCCTTTCACTATTATAACATCTATTGTACATTTTGCGTTGTGCTACTCTTTCAGTTTATTACTATTATTTACTTTTTACACTAGAGACAATATGATATTTACAAATGTGAGTCTGATTTATTTTACTTACTAGTATAATCGCAAGTTGCCTCTATTTACCTCTAAAAGCCTCAAGACCATCCTTTCCTGACCCCCATTCTTAAACCTCTGGAAGTACAAAGGTATTGTTTTTTCTCTTAATCACTACGACAGCATCCAATTTGTTAGTATCACAGGTCAAGGGAGGTATCTGGATACCTTAGAGTAAAACCAGCATAACTTCGCTTTCTCAGCTATTTATACTTCCTTTTCTATGAGCTGTCCGAATGCTCCTTACCCATTTTTTTCCATTAGATTGCTTATAAGATCAAATTTCTTAGCTGGGCATAGTGGCCCATGCCTGTAATCCCAACACTTGGGTGACTGAGGCAGGAGGGTCACTATGAACTTGGGGCCAGCCTGGGCTACATAAGTGAGTTCAAGACCAGCCTGGACTGCACAGTGAAACCCCGTCTCAAAAAGACCAAAAAGAAAAGAAGGAAAAAAACATCAAAATTCTTGGCTTTCATGACGACATTCACTCTCTCCCCTGAGACAGACTTCCTGTGAATACCCGGAATGCAGCTTTACTTACCAGGTGGACAGTAGAGTGGAGCTGAGCAATGGTCTCTTGGCTTTTCTGCTTGGCGTCTTTAACCCTTCTGAATGCCTGCTGGTAGGCCCGGGAGCGGAGCTTGCTGGACAGGGACCCCAGTCTAACATAGTAACTTGGCTTCTGAACCACATCAAATCCTTCTACTTTTTTTGCTTCTTTTTCTGAAGTTAGAAAATAAGGGACAAAAATTTAAGGGATCAATGCTGTAAGAGATAAGGCCTGAACTCTAACCTGGGTCTCTGCTTTGTTGATTCTGCCCACCCACCTAGCAAATATGCTCTTATTTTCTTAGAACTGCTCCAGGCTGCTCGTGGGCTTGCTCACCCTGGACACATTACAGGTCTCATTCATTCATGGTGCGTGGACCTACACACGAGTGAGCTTTCTCCAGCAACGCAACACCTGCCTCGCTGTAGAAACTAATCTGCCTACGTTAGTGAAGGTTCTTTTTAATCATGACACTGAAAGGCAACTCATTAAAAATATTCTATCTACATTAAGTATTTTTCAAGTCTAATAAGTTTCAAAACTTGCTATGTGGAATTCAGTAATAAACTTAAGATTGCTTTAAGAAGGAAAATCTACAGAAGACAAAAAGACTAGCGTGTTCACAATGGGACTGCAATTTGTATGTCTCACTGCCAAGCGGCCCTGAACCACCAGTGGTACATGCATGTCTGTCCCATTGGGCAGCATGTCAGGCCCAGGGGGTGGTACAAACTGCCCAATGGGACAAGCATGCATGGCCACCAATGGCTCAAGTTGGCAGGAACGTGTTGATAGTTGCTGAGGAAAGGACAGGAGTACTGACTTAAAAGAGTTACAAAGAGGATTCTGGAGTAAGAAAACCAGTAAAACTGGACCAAGATAAACTGTACAACTATGAAAATTTAGACTGAAAATAGATGAATGTTTTTGGGATATAAAGTCTCTTAAATGAAGCTCTCTCTTAAAGACCATCTAAGATACAAAATGTTATCGGAAGACACCATTTCCATTACCTAGCTCTTCCTCCGTGAGAGGAAGGTACTGGTCTACCAGCATCTCCGATTTGCTAAGTGCGTTTTCTACTCCACTGCTCATGATCTGCATCATCCGACTCCCCAGAACTGTGTTAATGCCGCCATTAACCATGGACTTGGTCTTCTCCACACTGTCAGTCACTGCTCCCTTGGTTTTGTCCATCACCCCTGTGATTGTGCTGGCCACGGAACTCTTCGCCCCAGTCACAGTCTTTGTCACAGCATCTCTTGCCCCAGTCATGGCACCTCTGGCACTGGCGACAACCTACAAGTGGAAACGCAGATCAACTCACAGATGAGAAATGTAGACACAAATACATATTTAAGGTCATAGGAAGGGACTATCATTGAAGTACTAGGACAAAGAAGCTGGCCCCTTCACTCTAACTCTAGTCTTGGGCAAGTCACTAAAACTTAGTGAGCCTGAATTTCCGCCTCAAGTCCATTTGACCAACCTGTGCCACCCTTAAAGATTGTTAAAGGGGGGGCTGGGGATTTATCTCAGTGGTATAAGCGCCTGCCTTGCAAGCAGGCAGTCATGAGTTCGATCCCTGGTACTGATAAAAAGGAAAAAGAAAAAAAAAAAAAAAGATTGTTAAAGGGGCAAGCAAGGCAAACTGATAAGAAATTTTTAAGGTGAATTGATTATTCTAGATGAGACCAGACATGCTAGGGTGGTATGGCCACAGGCAAAGTTGGTTTAACCTAGAGAAGAATGGAACTTTCCATGTTGACATGCTTACGCTGACAGCACCTCACGCCTAAGAGTATCATACGCACCCACTACACCCAACCTTTGCAGAAAACCCAAGATGACCAGCACAGGAGGAGCTGCCAGTATTCCACCTTTTTTTTTCTTTCCCCTTTTTATGAGACAAGGTCTTGCTATATAGTTTAGGATGGCCCTGAACTCACTATGTAGCCCACGCTGGCCTTAAACTTGTGGTGATCTTCTTGCCTCGGCCTCCCAAGTGCTGGGATTGTAAGTGTGTGCCATCCTAACTAGCTGGCTAGTTCTCCATCATGCTGGAAACAGTCTCAGATATCTGTCACTCAGCACACAGTCATCTAAATTAAGGGAAAACACATAAGGGGAAAGATAGAACATGGTAGCAAGACAACCACAGAAAACACTCGCAAGAAATCCTTAAATTGTTACTGCCTCAGGAAAAAACATTTAAACTCCATCTAACTTTTTGTTTAACTTTAAATAAGGTAAGTTGATTTTTTTAATATTGTACCCACATCACCAAAATTGAAAAAGCCCAACATAGTGGCACACTCCTATAATCCCAGCACAAAACAAACAAACAGAATTGAAAGAAAATACCTAAAATAGAAAAACAGAAAATAGCTCCCATCATTAGAACAGTCTGAAGATAGAAGTGAAAATCTGAAAGCAATACATACAAGTATTCTAAAGTTTGTACCCTATTCTTCATCTATTTAAGTCATGAAAGGCACAGAACCAGAAATTTCCCTAAATGACATAATTTTGGACCATGCTGTATGCCTTCTGTTGTTATTAAGACAGAGCCTCGTCTACAGGCTAGCCTTTAACTTGCTATGTAGCCCAAGCTGGCCTCTTGATCCGCCACCTTCAGCCTCCTGCCTCGTTCAAATGCCTGAATTCTTAACCTGAAAAAAAATGTTAAGACATTACCTGAATAAAAAGGTTAGGGGGAAGGATGAGGCTAGCAATTTTGTCAACACTGGCTGGCTCGGTGGTCCCCAACAGCACTGCAGGAAGCTAAGTGAGAAAACCTTCCATATGTCACTTCTCCATTTACCCGACACTACCCAGGAATCAGGTATTGGGCAGACCTACTTTACAACTGTACACAGCAGAGGCAGAGTCACAGGGAGCAGACCCTACATCTTCTAGCCATGGTGCCTAGCTCTCTCCTCTTTGGATATGACCTAACATGGGAAAACAGTGGTCATTATTCTTTAGAAACTAAAACGGACCTGGGGATGTAGCTCCAGGGTAGAACACTTGCCTAGCATTTGTGAACCCCTGAGTTCAACCACCAAAAACAAAACAAAACAAAAAGATACAGAAAAAAGGTTAGGAGAACAAGTATTTGCAAATTTGTGGTATGTAGAGCCTGTGCTACACAGGCAGAACATGCAAACGTGAGGTGCCAAGCCTCCACGCTGCAGCTCACCTGGGTTGTCGGCTGGTTCAAGATGGGCAGTCTCTCCTCGATCCTGTCCAGCCCCCTACAGGCGTAAGTATTGGCAACTGCAACTGGAAGAGCCACAAGTGGAAAAACATTACTATAAGAGCGCACACTTGACCACGCCTCATACCTTCAGCTTTGTTGAACAAAACAGCAATATTGACTTTTTACCACAAAATGCATCACCTGGTTTCTCTAGCAAGGGGTTGGCACATTGCTGGCAACTTTCTTCCACTAACAGGGAAACAAGAGACTGAGATGAGAGCAGGCAGAGGCATCAAAGGCCAAGCAGGACACTGGCCAAGAAGCATCTTCCGCACCTGGAGGCCCCTCATATGAATACTAGGAGCAGCCAGACTTCTGAGAACCCTCATTCAGGGAATAAGATCTCTAAACTCCTCTCCAGATTAGTATTTCCATGCTAGTTTAATCCCTCCTTAATTCAGCACACAGCAGTGCATTTGGGATTCTTATTAGGAAACAGTACACAAATGGCACCTGGCATCTCCCTAACAAGGCCGGTGTTTTAGTCCAAGCTTCCCCGTAAAGATGACCAAAGTATTCATACCAAATTCACCCGAGAACTAGCTTTGTTGGAATAACTGCTCTTTTTGTTTCTTTTATTCCAGAAATCCCTGACTTAACCATTGAAGGGAGTTGTTTAATTCTGCTATTTTGTTTTGTTTTTTGCGGGGCTGGGGTGTGTAGCTTTTTTTGTTGTTTTTTCTGATACTGGAGATTGCACCTAGGGTCTCGAGCATGCTAGACAAGTGCTCTACAAGTGTAGGTCTACAGGACCTACATCCCAGTCTTTTATATTGAGACATTTTCACCAAACTGCCCAGGCCGACCTCAAGCTTGTAGTACCCTCCCTCAACTTTCTGAGTGGCTGGAATTACAGGGTTATACCACTAGTGCACCCAGCCATTTTAACCCTTTTTTGTTGTTCTGAGACAAGATGTCAATACGTAGGTCAAGATGGACCTGAACTCAGCATATACCCCAGGTTGGCCTAGGGTTCACAGTGATCCTGCTACCTCAGCCTCTTGTGTGCTATGATTATAGATGTGTGCCACAACACTCAGCAAAGATATTATCTTGTTTTGTGACTCTGTGGACTGAACCCAGGGCCTTACATATGCAAGACAAGCCCTCTTCCACTGAGCTACATCCCTGAGCCCTTAGCATTTTTAAGTGTACAATTAAATGACACTAAATCACCCCCAATGGTGAGCAACCATCACCATGACCTTTTTCAGAACCTTTTCATCATACCCAGAAGTCTGTATGAGGTTTCTTTCTGGTGTAATGAATGTTCTAAAACTGATTACAATGATAATTGTATAGTTCTCTGAATACACTAAAAACTACTTAATTATACATTTTAAATGGGTGTGTTGTATGGTATGCTAATTCATCTCAATAAAGATATTCTTAAAAATAGAAAGAAAAGTTCATGTACGCTGTACAGTTCCAAGAATGTCAGTTATTCTGGTTCAATGTCCCAACGTGTGCCTTGTGATCTGTTACTGACACACTCTGCCTGGCTGGCAAGTAGCCTTCCAAGACAACAAGAGTAACTGGCAGTTTCTAGGTAAAACAAGTATCAGTATGTGCCCAGGAAGAGCTGAGAATTACCTGTTGCAGGCATGTGCTTAGGTCTCACTCCCTTTTATTTTTTTAATTGAAATCAATTTATTTCACATATTTAATGTATAAGAAATACAATAATAAAAAGTATACAGTGGTTTAGCCAGATGTGGTAGGCACGGTTGTGATCCCAGCACTCTGGAAGGCTGACAAAGGAGGATCCCAAGAATCAACCCCTTCCAAATATAAGGTGGGTTGATTTCATCATTTAAAAAAGTGTAGACATTCAAGATCAGTATTTGCTCAGAATTTGCAACTACTAGATTGTAGTTGATAGTGGTGATTTAAGATTGTTATAATGTAGGGCTCACTTCTGACCAGCACTTGGACTAAATATTTTTTGTTCTGTTTGGAGACAGGGTCTTGCCATGTAGCTCAAGCTGGCCTTGAACTCATGATCCCCCTCTGCATGGCCCTCCATGTGCTGGGATTCCATGTTTACAGCCCTGTGCCACTATGTCCCACACCTGAGACTGAACTTTGAGGGAGAAATCAGAACTCACTTTGTGGCTCTAGCTTCTGCATAATGGGCAGAACACTGGTCATGGCCACTGAGGTCATGGTCTTCACACCCTTCTCAGCCATCTCACACACAGACTTCAGGTAGGGGTGCTGATCCTTCGTGCTGATATAGGCTGAGGACACCAGATCATAAGTGGAACTCACCAAGGGCAGGCTGGCCACCCTTACCACCACACTCTGCAACCAGAAAGGGGCAAATATTAACTTCTCATAAGACACAAGGAGAGAAAGGAGTCGAGAAAGTGGCTTTTTACAACTCCTACCGGTTGTAGATCAACTGCAACAGAAGCCATTATTTTCTCCTGGAGCAAAAAGCAACCTGTGGAAAAGAAACTCACTTCAGGACGCAGGCTAAACCTCCCAGATTTAGTTCCCAGTCCAAGCAAAGGCTCGACAAACGCAAAGAGGAGTCCGCTGCACTTCTTTCTACTCTAGGCCTAGGTCCTCAGGTGCAAACATCCACTCCCACCCCACCCCTCGGGCAAGCAAGCCTCTGGGGCTCCTTTTCAGAGGAAAAACTGGCTCAGCGCAGAAAGCAAAGTCGTTGATGCATTTGCCTTGTGTCTGCACCAGGACACTTGAAATGCAAACTGTGCATAAAAATTACTAAACAGGTTAAAATCCGTGTTTTCATTAAAGAAGGATTTAAATACAGCAGAAGCGCTCCTAGTCTTCCCTGGGATCAAGTCAGGCCCATGGAGGTGGGGCACTCAGGAAGATTTAACCTTTCTTATTAAAAAAAAAAAGAAAAAACTTAGTAACTAAGCACAAGAGGAAGGTGGTGCTCCGAAGAACTGAGAAACATTCCAGGACGTGGGGGAAGTGTAAATTTAGTATCCCAGAGGAAGAGAAGGGGAAGTGAAAAAATTACGGCGTGGTACAATACGTACACGCATTAATTCCCCACACTGCATCTCATCATTAGCAAACAAATACTAATAAAAGTTGAAATGTTTAAAAACTCGGTATCTCCTAGGATACACACCCCTACACGACTGCCTTCCTCCCAGTCCGCACAGCTTAAGGCCAAAGAACCCGCTCTGCCTGCCGCCCACCACTTCCGGCCACTCAGCTCGGCCTGCAGACGCCGAGGGTCCCAGTTTTCAAGAAATGAGTAAGAACAGCCCGGAAGGCGGAAGCCTGGCGCAGGATCGATCGTCCTAGTATACCCCAGAAAATTCTCCCTCTGCCGGGCTTGCAACACACCCCCCTTTAAAGAATGTCCTTTGAGGCCAAATGGAACTAGCCAGGCAGAGAGAGAGAGACAGAAAGAGAGACAGAAAGAGAGAGAGAGAGAGAGAGAGAGAGAGAGAGAGAGAGAGACAGAGAGACAGAGAGAGACAGAGAGAGAGAGAAAGAGAGAGAGAGAGAGAGAGAGAGAGAGAGAGAGAGAGAGAGAGAAAAGGGCCCCCCGCGAAGCAAAGCGATGGCGGGATCCCGGAGCCACCCCCTCCCCCTCCCCGTCTAGCTGGAGTCCCGCGGGTAGCAGAACAGCACCCCCACCCCAGCTCGAAGGGCCGCGTCTGGGCGCTGCGGGGCGCCTGGGTCCACGAACCCACCTTGAGAAGAGGCAAAGGCAGCCGAGTCAACTCCACGCTGCGTCCGCTAGCCGAGCTTTAAACCCCGCCGCCGTGCACGTGACCTGGGGCACCGCCGCGGGGCGGAGCGCAGGCGGCGGAGCGTAGAGGGGCGGTGGCTGCAGGGCGGCATGGGGTGGGAGCCATGCCCAGCGGGCCGGCCAGGGAAGGGCGGGGATCGGAGGGAGGGCACCCAGCCGGGAGAACCCAGCCTGAGCTAGGCTGCGGGCGTCGTGAGAGGTTGGTGGCAAAAGCAGAAGGCGCCCTACCACCTTTGGGATTTCTAAAAACTCTCCAAGCTGTAGAACAAGTGCGTAGGAAGAGTTAGACCAGAGGGAAGGTGGGGGCAAAGCCCTAACGTGGTTAGCATGACTCAGAATAGAGCTCTTCTTCCAAAACGGAAGCCATGACTTGTAGACTGATATTTTATTTTGTTTTTTAGACTGATATTTTAAACTGATATTTAAAACAAACAAACAATGAAGCTTTAACCCAATAATAGGTTTGTGGGCATCCTGTAAAGTTGATTCCTCAGACATGTTTCTAATTTAAAGGTGAACTAGAAAGAGCCTTAGAATACTTTATTTTTTCCCCAACAAGACTTAATTGCAAATCATTCCAGAATAAGAGTAATCTAAATTTATACAAGATGATCAACTTTTTAAAAAAATTGGTGGGTTATGCAGTACTTTTTAAAAAGTCCTAAGTCGTCAACATCTAAATTCAATCCATATTATTTGAGCACACAAATTTGGCAGTCACCCTGGGCCGATAGGGCTCTGTGCATTTCTTCCCTGGAGATATGGGAGTCCTCCTCTCCTACCACTTGGGGAAGGTAAACTAAAGGGAATATTAAGAGGCGTGAAAGGAGCTGGGGGACCAGGATACCAGGTCCCCACCTCCGGAGTGAGCAGCAAGGGGAGAGGAACAGCTCTAGAGCAGGTGAACAAACTATGTTTGCTCAGCGGTGGAATCTGAACAGTGGAAAGCCCTCAGAGCTATTCCTACAGGGTACATAACCACTGTTGCATGCGCACACCTACTGTTTGTCTTGTCTAAAGCTCCAAATTGACCTTTTAGAACTATATGCCAATGGGTTTGGATTACAGGTTGGCACATGCCTGTAGTTCTAGCGCTTGGGAGACTGAGGCACGAAGATCACTGTGAGTTCCAGGTGAGCCTGGGCTATACAGTGAATTCAAGGCCAGCCTGAACTGCATAGTGAAACACTGTCTCAAAACACACACACACACACACACAGACCACACACTATATATGTACAATCTACAGGATTAATATCTTGTCTTCAGCAAGAAATTTACCATATCCCCACTCTGTAATTCAAATTAAAGGTACAATACTAAGTAATAAAAACAAGTGTATGAAGGTGCAAAGAAAGTTATGTGGTTTTTTTTCCCCCACTGACATCTTCAATGCTTAAAACAAATTATTACTTTTTTCTTTAATTTTGGGTGTTGTATGTCCTAGCTTTGTTGTAGCAAATGCTTGTTCTTCTATTGTGATTCCACCACTACTCTGACTTGTTAATCTGTACTTTTATTTTGCATCAGAAGATCTGCCCTTTCACCTGCAAAGTGCCTTTGTCTTTTCCTTGCATAAGCCTATGAGTCATTTCTGCTCTTTAAAATAGGGCACGGAGCAGGGCATGGTGTCATATGCCTGTAATCCCAGCACTTGCTTGGGAGGCTGAGGCAGGAGAATCGTTTGCAAATTTGAGACCAACCTAAGCTACAAAGTGAGCCCAAGGCCATCTGGAGCTGCCTAGCGACACCCTGTCTCAAAAAAGACAAAAATAAATAAATAAATAAAGTTGGGCAGGGTTCCTTCTGTTTTTAATTACTTCTGAAGGAGAAGGCGCCAATCTGGGGCAGGATTCTCCGAGCCTTCATACAGTACTGGGAGTTGAACCTAGTCTTTTCACATTGAGCTACATCACATTCCTAGCCCTGTTTAATTTTTTTATTTTGAGATAGAGTTTCACTAAATCTCTAACTGCCCAGGCTGGACTCAAACTTGCAGTCCTTCTGCCCCAGCCTCCCCTGGTGTTGGGATTACAGGTGTGCTCATCATTCTGACTCACACCAGACTCATGTGGCCCCCACTCGTGCTCGGCTTCACAAGCCTGTGAGGACGAGACAGGCATTCAAGGTGAGATGCGCAGGATCCCATTAAAGGGAGGGTTGTCCAATGAAGCAGTGCTGGGAGCACTGCTTAGGCCATTACCCTGAATCGGGCAAACCTAAGAGGTTTCAGGGGTTTGTCTGGTTTCCTCCAGGATTATATTATGTGTGTTTTTTAAAATTTTTTTGGTACTGAATATTGAACTCATGAGTATTGAACTACCTTGTGCTTGCCAGGCAGGCACTTATGCTGCTGAGCAAAATCCCCAGCCCCATGGGCTGAACCCCATAATATAGGGCTATATCTTTTTTTTTCAGTTTATTTCCAGACAGATTCTCAGTAAGTCATTAAATTGACTGGACTGGGTTTAAACTTGCAATCCTCTACCTCAGCCTCCCAGAGTGCTGGTTACAGGTGTGCACCACCAAACCTGGCTCTAATCTGTATGCCCCACCCCCATTGTGGATTGAACCTGGAGCTTCATTCATACTAAACATGTGCTCCACCACTGAGGTATAAGCCTGGTCACTACCCCTCACCTACTGAATCTCGGTCTACATGGTGCCCAGAAACCTACATTTCTATCAGTAACCCTTTGGGGCACCACCACTTTTGCCCTCTCAGAACATTTTTACATAATACTAGTATTTGAGCCTTACGGTGGCTTGAGAACTCAGTGGAGTGGGATTATTACTCTCATTTTAATAATGAAGAAAAAGTCCCAGAGCAGTCACATGGTCTATCTACACTCTTTACCACCGGCTGCAAGCTAGGCAAGACTAGATCCCAGGTGGATGACTTGTCCTAGGCACCTGATTTCTCTTTGATTTAGTTTCCTCACCTGTAAAGTAGAGACAGTAATTCATCATGGTCTGGGTAAAGGTTATATGGTATTCATTGTGTTGGTCTTTCAGCTTCTCTGTGGTTTTAAAAAAAAAAGTCTCAAAATTAAGTTTGGGGTAGAGGAGCTGGAGATGTAACTCAGTGGTAGAGGGTTTTCTGAGCACGTGCAGGGCCCAGCACAACAACAAAAACAACAACAACATCAAAAAGAGGAGGCATCATACAGTAATGGGAAAATGAGAAGACAAATGACTTTTGTATTCCTGTGCAAATTAGTGTAAATGAAAGAAATTGTGTACAAGTATGTACCCAAAATAGATAGCTGCTGCTAAAAGTAGATATGGTATTTGCTTTGTAGGATGATAAATGCCTGGAAAAGACAACAAGGCCCTTTTGGATGCTGACATTCTGTTTCTTATTCTGGGAGCTACTTACACGCATATACGTTATGAAAATCCACCAAGCAGCACACTTCTATGTTTCATACGTATGTTATGATATTGTGAGTGCAGAGTTTCAAAAAGTTCAGGCAAGCCTGAGCTGTGGTGGTGAAGCCAGCAGTCCCAGCACTTGGGAGGCTGACACAAGAGGACAGGAGGTTTGGGCTGCATTTTGAGATCCTGTCTACATCACAACAAAACAACAAAAAAAAAAAAAAAAGAAAAGAGGGGAAAAAATTGAGGAAAATAGCAAAATTAATCCAGTTTACTTCATAAGGATTAAATGAATTAATAATTTAACGGTTAAATGAATGCCAGGCATATAGAAATGATAGGTGTTATTAATGTTTTTAAATCACATCCAAAAAATAAAAGCAAAACAACAACAAACATACATACAAACCAAGCCAGACGCAGGGCCTTGGGCTGAGGACAGCTCAGCTCCCTGGAGAACTGGGAGGAGCCTCTGGGGCCAGCAGTATCCCAAGTGCAAAGTACAGGAGACTTCGTGGAGAGGCCACATTTCCAGGGTTTGCAGCAAATAATGGTAATGAAACTGCTTTGAGGTGTGTGTTTGCAGCTGTAATCCCTAAAGCTGTATAGCTATAGCTTTCTTGGGGTGTGAAACTGATGCAAAGTAATACTGAAATGGCGAAGGAAAACAAAAAAGAATTCGGAGTGCAGTTTCCCCTCTAAGAGGCCAGAGAGCACTCATTTTCCTCCTTGTTCACCTGCAGGCTGCTCACTTTCCCTCTCAGCCCTCTTTTTGGACAGCTTCCCTCCATCTGGACAAACTCTACGCACTCTGTGGGACTTGGCCCTTTTGGGCTTCTGGCAGTTTGTCTTACTCTTTCCTACCCAGTGTGTGCTGTTAGGCAAGAAATACCCTCCACTGACCCTCTAGATTTCAATAAGTGAACTAGAGAAGACGCTGTCCATGGCCCTCTCAGCCAGATTACCTGAATCGAAACTCTCAAGTACGTGGCTTCATGGTGCCCTTGCCTCGAATGTCGTCTCAAACCAGATACAGACTTTTGTTGTTTCCTTGTCAGGAGTCAGCTCTGCTCAAACCAGGGGAGATAATCCTCTGGCTATTTCCTCTCTTAGGCTTAAAGTTAGATAACATTATCTTCCTCGATGACCAGAGAACAGAGTAACAGTCACGAGAACAAGGTATGAAGCAGGTAAGATATGTTCTGACCAGTTTAGGCCCCGTGGAACCCGTGACCAGTCGAAGCCAGTTCTCGGTGTAATTACATTCCTGACCACTGCTGAACTCTGTCGCAGCCTGCCTTCTTTAATTCCTCCTCCGAATACCAGGGAGAGAAAAAGTAATTCCTCCTCCAGGTGGGCTTCATCTTGCCTTAGTTTCCAAAAACCCACACTCTTCCCCCCACCCAAACACCAGGTTTTTCGGCTTTCACTGGTCTTTTAACCTCACAGTTTCTCTACCTGAAATACATAGTTTCACTGAAATTATTCTAAAGATAGATCTCATCAGTTTAAATACAGTTTCCATCTAGTCTTCTGCTCCACTTTGTAGTAGGTTTGAGACCTGATAAGCAATTTCTGCTGGGTGATTGCAGTTTAATGTGTTTTATGCTCTTGAAAAGAAGCACGCTGATTTTAAAAAGTGCTCACTTCGGCAGTACGTGTACTAAAGTTGGACCCATGGAGAAGATTAGCATGGCCCCTGTGCAAGGGTGACACCCAAATTCATGAAGTGTTCCACATTTTTTATGTGTCCTAAATATTTGTTTAAACAAAACAACAACAACAGGGGCTGGGGATTTAGCTCAGCAGCATAAGAGCCTGCCTTGCAAGCAGGCAGTCGTGAGTTCGATGCCCGGTACTGATAAAAAGGAAAAAGACAAAAAAAAAAAAAAAAAACAAAAACAAAACAAAGCACAACAAAGCAGTGAGTGGTGACCCATACCTGTAATCCCAGCACTCAGGAGACTGAGGTAGGAGTATCATTGTGAGTTCAAGGCCAGCCTGGGCTACACAGGGAGTTTAAGGCCAGCCTGCAATGCAGAGTGAGACACCGTCTCAAACCTACACACACACACACACACACACACACACTGGTGAGGCACAAGGGTCACCACAAGTTTGAGGCCAGACTGGGCTACACAGTGAGTTCAGTACCACCCTGAACTCCATAGCAAGATGCTATCTCAAAATACAAATTAATTTAAATATATATAAATTAACTAATCAACTAAAAGTAAAATACTGTATGCCATACACAGAATCCCAGGTGCTCTGGACAGTTACTCTGGAGGCTGAGACAGAAGTACCAAGAGTTTGAGACTAGGGCCAGGGATATACCTCAGCAGCACAGTGCCTGCCAGGCAAGCATGATGTCCTGAGTTTGATTCCTGGCACAAAAAAAAAGAAAAAGAAAAAGAAAAAAAAAGAGTCTGAGTCTGGCCCAAGCTTTTCTCAAACATTTTTTTCAAGAGTTGAGGCAAGCCAAGCATGGTGGCACACACCTGTAATCCCAGTACTTAGGAGGCAGGAGAACCCCTGTGAGTTTGAAGCCATGTTGGGCTACATAGTGAGTTCAAATTCAGAGTCTGTCTCAAACAACAACAAAATAAATGTACATACTACATAGCAAGAGTCTGTCTCAAACAACAAAAAAATAAATGTAAAAAGAGCTGGGAGCCAGGGTTGGTGGTACATATCTGGAATTCCAGCACTCAGGAAGCTGAGACAGGAGGATTACCAGTTCAAGACCATAGCAAGGGGATTTGAGCAAAGATGGTGGATAGATAACAACTGGCTACAGAAGTTCCCTGAGACAGTCAACTTAGAATTCAACATAATACAGCTTGGGGAGTCCTGAACAGAGGGAGATGAATTCTCTCATCCCAAGAAGAAACTAAGGTGAGAAGAACCAATCAAACATACAGTCCTGGTGCTATTATCAGAACAGCTAAAGGTTCAGTGCTCCTGCTACAGCGCCTGAACTCCCAAGGCGGCGACTTATGGAGCCATCCAAAATCCTGCTGCTTCAGCTCACTGGAAAAGCAGTCACACTGAGCGGGGAGGCAAGCCAAACGGAGAGCTGAGCTGGCAGGGAGCCTGCATTGACCTGTGGTGAGTGACGCGAATAAAACCATTTCACAGGAAAAAGTGCGCCGGCAGACGACATTCTGGGACCGGGGACCGGGCAGGACTGGCAAGTACAAGGGGCAGCAGTGACTTCAGTCAGTTATTCCCTTCCAGAACGGGATTGCTGGAATAAACTTGGTCTGGGTCATGTGACCTGGCTGAGGCCCAATAGGTTAACCGAAATCAATTCCCTATGGCGGCGGTGGCGGTGCACACTAATGCAGTGAAGGCCTCAGCAGGTTGACTGACCCAGACGCGAGGGGCCAGCATACGCTGCCCCTGTTTGCAACTCATTAGCACACGGCAGTGGGAAGGGTCACCTAGCCAGTGTGCTTCAAAAGAATTGTAAAAAATAAAAAAAGAAACTGGGGCCTCCTGGAAGAAAGATGGGAAGAGGAAGCAACAACAAAAAGTGCCCAGGTCCCAACCCTGAGAACATTGACACAGGACAGGTAAATACAAAGGAGAATGAGGACAGCAAACATGCAATATCAGACACGGCACCAGTGGACATAAAGAGATATCTTCGGGACCTCATAGACAAGTTCAAAAGGGAAATATTTAGCCAAGTAAAGCAAGATATAAGAAGATTAATAAAAGAGATGCTAAGCACCCCTCAAGAAGACACAGATGGAAGAATGGAAGAACTCAAACAAGGACAGAACCATTTGATGAAGAATATAAAGAAAATACAGAATACATGAAGCAGATTCAAAGAGATTACCAGGAAATTAAAAACTCTATGGAAAGATGGCAAAACTGTTTGAAAGAAACTAAGGATAGATTATCCAAACTGGAGGACAGGTTTGCAATGTGGGAATATGAAAGGAAAAACCCTGTAAAAATAACAAGGAAACAGGCAGTAACAATACAGATTTAGCATTTTTTTTTTTTTGTCTTTTTCATTTTTATGGTACCAGGGATAGAACTCACGACTGCCTGCTTGCAAGGCAGGCGCTTATGCTGCTGAGCTAAATCCCCCAGCCCCGGCAGTAACAATACAAAGGCTAGAAGACGACAAGAGGATCTATAACTTGAGAATAAAGAATGTGAATGAAGAAGCAGGGATACAAACAAAGGAATTACAAAGGCTATTCACAGAAATAATTAAGGAAAACTTCCCAAACATAGAAAAAGGAAATGATACTCAGCTATATGAGGCATATAGAACTCCAGCCACCTACAACCAAAACAGAGCTTTACCCAGGCATATAATAATCAAGATCCCAGAAATTCATTATAAGAACAGAATATTAAAAGCTGTTAGAGACAAGAAACAGATCACCTATAAAGGAAGACCCATCAGAATAACGTCAGACTTCTCGACACAGACCATCAAATCAAGAAGAGCCTGGAGCAAAATATTCCAAGCCCTGAAAGAAAATAACCTCCAGTCCAGACTGATATACCCTGCTAAAACTGTCTCTAGAAATTAATGGAGAAACAAGATGCTTCCAAGACAAAGAGGAACTTGGGAAATTCGCAACCACCAATCCAACTCTACAGAGAATACTGCAGGGCATTCTAGAGAGAGAGAAAAGTACTAGGATTCCATGAACAGTGGCAGAGAGGCCTCAATAAATGGAGCAGAAAACAGAATGAAGAAGATAAGCAGACAATTGATGGCAAAAAAGAGCATAACAGAAATGAGGCAGAGAAGGTTGATTATAATCTCCAATATAGATAGCCTTGATACACTAAATTTAAAAAAAAGAACCACACGTGGAGTAGATAAGGAGGTAGGGTCCACCGAGATGCTATTTATAGGAAATATAATTAACATGAAAAAGAGTACATGGACTGAAAATCAAATATGAGAAAACAATGCTCTATGTGACAGAGAACCAGAGAGTAATAGGGGCAACTAGACCAGTATTTGTGGATAGGTTGGAAAGACAGGCTTTAATAGGTAAAGGAATACAATTAGAGATCAAGTCCAGGAGAGGGAAGGTTTGGAACCACTTAGGTAAATAGCAGGTTCCCCCCCTCCACCAATTTAAAACCAAAGATCTTGGTGAGACCCAAAAATGCACAATGTACCCTTGGGAAGTGAAAGGGGAGGGAAAATCTTAAAAAAGACGACAGAAGATATTGTTAATAGTGTATCAGGATTTGAAACCCACATTACTTGCACCACTCTGCCTAGATAGATTTTATTCTGTCCCAGTTTGTCTACTTGTACTAGATTTGAGGGCATTAGACAGCTATCCTAAAAACATCAGGATATAGCACAGTAATCATCTTTAATTTCCTATTATCTTAACCTGGAGCCCTGTATGACTTATACTGTTTTATCATGACTGATCTTAGTTAAACCTGGTTTGTTTGATTGCTGTTTGGTATCAACAGATTTTATTCAAAACTGATATGATAGTATCAAGTCTGAGAGTATAGGCAACTACAGTGATGATGACTAGACTCTACGATACACAGTCTAGTTTGATAACTGCCGGTTTTTGAAGTTCTATACTATGTACAAAGTTGTGTTTTTATTAATACTGTTATGTACTGATATATTCAATTATACTATGTCTGTTGATATAGCCAATTCTATTGAAGATAACAAGAGACAACACAGGAACTATGATAGAACTCCTTGTACAATAGTCTTACATGTTTATTTCATTTCATGTGTTTATAAGAATATGTTTTGTTTTGTCTTGCTTTGTTTTGTTTCTCCCTCTAAAATAGAAAGGATAGAAACACATGTTAAAACTCATGAAGACTCATGCATGTGTAGAACCTATAAACAGTTTATGAGAACAGATCTTATGGCACATGATGAAATGAACAAATACTTTGAAGAAAAAGAGATACTAAAGTACCCAGTGCTGATCCTGGAGTGTCATAATGTGAAACCCAGCAATAGTATTATTCTTTGTTCAGAGTGATATTAACCTGCTTGGGTTTGTTCAACCTCAACATAATTGAAGATATGGATAACTGCACGTATGTTTAAGTGTATAGGATTGATAACCATATTTCTAAGTTTTTGTGGATAGTTGAACAAAACTGGTTGCAGTCTCACTGTTTGAATCCGCACTTTATATGCTCCACTTTAGTATCTTGAATAACTATTTGTAAGAGGACAATCTGTAATCATCAACTAGTGATTTCTTACTGTTTATTTTTTTCTTTGAAAGTATGTATTATTTCTACCCATTTTCTGTTTTGTTTAGTCTTTCTTTAAATAAAATTAAAAAAAAAAAAAAAGACCATAGTGAGTTGAAGACCAGAGTGAGTTCAAGGCCAGCATGGGTTCTCCTGCCTCGGCCTCCTGAGTGCTAGGATCATAGCCAGGCATCACTCTTCTTTTTAAATCCCCTTTGCCTCTTCAATTTCTCTTTTCACAACATGTAATACTACTTATTGAATCTTGCTTTGTACCAGAGACACTATTTTAAACCCTCAAATCATTTAAGAATACATTTTTGTTCTTAATGCCTAGATTAGGATCAAAGTGTTAGAAATTTACCCAAAACTAAAGCTGTAAATGTTAAACATTTACAGCTATTATATATGTCCCTTCCCAAGACCAAATGCCCTCTTACAAGTGCAAACAGTATCTCCCAAAACCCTGTCCCAGAAAAAATGGAAACAATGCTTTGTAAATAAGCG